AGATTGATACGTGTGTCGGGACGCCACAGCGTCGGCGGGTGCCGCCGAGTGCCGCCCTCGCCCGACGGTTTGATAGATGGTCTGGGCCTGACGCGGCTCGTTGCCGGGTTGCTGGGTTGCCGAGTAGCCGGGTTGCCGGTTGCCTTATCTGTGGGGCGACAGACGGGGCGGGCAGCGAGCGCACAGTGGGCGCACAGTGGGTGGGCAGTGGGCGGGCAGCAGGCGCACAGTGGGCGCACAGTGGGCGGGCAGTGGGCGGGCAGTGGGCGGGCAGCGGGCGGGCAGTGGGCGGGCAGCGGGCGCGGTGGGCGATGAGCTTTCCTCACTGAAAACATCCCGACTTTTCTCCACAGTGGTTTCAAGAGAAAAAGTCCAAGCTTTTCGTGGAACTAAATTTTAAGAAAATGTTCAGAAGCAAGAGATGTTCTCTAGACACAGAAAGGCGAGCTACTGTAGGAGAAAAAATGCGCAAAAACAGCCAGAGATTTTTCGGAGAAAAGATTTGACCAACTGAGTAGCATACAAGTTCTAAGAGCAGGGTGAATTTTTATGGCCAATTTTCGTGGAGAAAATACAGTCTGTCTGGTAACCAAAAATACAACAATTTCTTAATTATTTTTTGAAGCTGTTTATGCATATTTTATGCGACAAAAAAGTAGCAGATTTCTCTCGTGCTGGTAGCGGCAGGCGCGGCCGCATCACTCGCAATGCGGTGTGCCCCTTGGGTGCCCGATCTCAAACACTGTACTTTTTTGACCTGATTGGCGGTCATAGTGGCATCTCTCGATTGAGCATGCATCCTACTCTATAGGTAAAAACCGCCGCGTATGCTTGCGTGCTGCTTTCTTCGTGTTTCTAGACCATCGGACAGCCTCTCCTGGACAACACCAGGCTTGGATGCAAACACAGCCAAGCACGATAGTCCGCTCCATTCAGCTCAAGGCAGTAGAGACTAGGTTAACTCCACATTAGTTCTGCCGAGTCCATCAGTCCCGGCTCGCCACAGATGGGGTAATACCGCCCATACGTCTATATATCAAATCGGTAGTGTAAGGCAAAGGTTATGGAGAACAGCCTTCAAGCGTTGGCGGGGCTCTTTTGCCCGACGGCGCCAGTGGGTCTTGTCGTATATATTATCTCATGCACAACCGAGTTCTACATCACTCAGCACACTGGGACTCGACTAATCTTGCTCACCCCGCACTCTAATCACTCTCCATAATGAATTATTTCGTCGTCATCGCTGCCCTTGCTGCTACCTGCCTCGCGCAGAGCATCGACATCGGCGCCCCCGCCGCCAACTCGACTGTCAGCCCGGGCCAGTCGATCACGGTCGAGGTCGACAAACCAGTTGCGTTTCATGTTCATGATGGCATTGGCGCAGTTGACACTGACCATAACGCCTGCAGGACTCCTTGACTGGATCGACTGAGGTTGCACTTGTGCTCTCGATGGCATCCTGCCCGGCCGACGGGTGCACCGACCCTAGCTATGACCCGTCTGGCGATCTCGGCCAAATCCTCTACAACGGGCCCTACAACCCCCAGTTCCACCCTGAGACTGATCCTGGAAAGCCACCTTACCAGAACTTCTCAGTGGAGGTTCCGACGACGTTCACCAGTGGCGAAAATATTGCCCTCATTGCTACGCATCTCGACTTGGTCGGGGTAAGTAACAATCAGTTTGTACGTCTGTCAGACATCGTCTAATCGTCGGTCCTCTTTTTAGGTTGGGCTTAGCCCCCTTCTCGAGGTCATCTTCGTTCCTTTGACCATAGTCTGATAGGTAGATGTCGGGATCCACCTCGGCGACTTGTTATGAACTATTAGTCATGGACTTCTCGTATTTACAATATGCGCACCCTATATGCGGACCTCATGTAAGTAGATACCCCGGGAGGCTGCACAAAATTTTAAAGCACTGTGACATACGTGATAATGAACATTTTGCCTCGGCACTAACCGCTCAAATGTGGAGGTTCAGCCCTCAAAATTGGGCCTATTGGGGGATGCGCAGGGGGTTTACGCAAGCCCACTCGTAGCCGGAGCACTCTTCACTGCTGACTCTGAGAGCGCAGAGGCGGCCGATCGCGCTGAAGGTAGTATCAGTATAGCGCTAAGTAGTGCTCCAGCGTACACTACGCCTAAAGAGCCTAGAGGCAAGCATCCAGGGACAATTGCAATGTCCATCATCGCAGTCATCTGTCCAGCAAGTGTTCCAAAAGTCCGATGCTGCAGCCGCCTAGCCATGTACGAATGATCCCGCAGCTCATCCTCAGTGCAGAGCGCGAGCCTAACCCCCACATTTCCTTCGGCGCTGCGGCCGGCCAACGCTGACCTGCAGCGGCGCAGCTCGGTCACTGCACGTGGATGTTGCTGAAGAAATTGCTTGGCTGGTCGTGTTGCGGTGGCGAGTCGGCGATCGTGTCAGACACAAGGACGCGGCGGGCACGCCCTGCAGAAACATCCAGTCCTCAGCATCACGGAAAAAGCGAGATCGCAGCGAATATACGTTCTAGTCAGCGCACTGTACATTGCACGCTCCCTGAGCGGGACGAGATTCGGGACGATGGTGCGCGAGAGCGAGAGAATGGCGCCGCTTTCGGCTCTCTGCACAGCTGTAAAATAAATTAAAATTAAAATTAAAATTAAAATAGTCAGTTGGTGCGCCATTGTGGGGGAAAGGAACAGATAGTGGGAGAATTGGAGGAGGGCGTGCGCACTGCGCTCGGCAGTCAGCCAGTTCACGTTTCCCTCGCAATAAAATGCTCTTGGAGTAGTTGCTGTGCACCACTTATGCCGGGTTGCCGAAGCCAGACCGGGGACAGCGCGCTGAGCGCACCATTGGCCGCAGGACTCGCATATCTCCAGGAGGGTACGCGATGTGGACCGTTCACTCAATGAGGACGATGTCCGAGCCCCGTGAGAGAACTCCGGCGTCCCAGATGCCGATGCTATGAAATGCTTCTCGAGGCAAAGGCTGCCATCGCGCGCATGTAGGCAATGCGTGTACTGATGTGTTTTTGTACCTTTATCCGCGCAAAATAGTATAAAATTAGCCCCGTGTCAGGTCAGAGCCACCTCAGCAAAGCGCAGGTCTATGCAACACGGAGCTCACCACCCCTTCCGGGATGCCACGGGGGACGCCGCGCGGAGCGGTTCTGGATTTGTGCTGTGGAATTCTTCCCGCATCGTTGTGCAAAGCATCCGAGTGCAGAGCGAGGCGTGCCGCAGTGCTTACTCAAATTGCGCAAAATGATTCAGATCGGTCATCTCCATCACGGCAATACCGTACGTCCGTGCGGAGCATGGGTGCTTGCAACCTTGAGCGTACCGTCCTGCACCAGAAACTTGGCTCGAACACAAGTCAATATTGACATGATAACTTGGGCGCAGCCGATTTGCTGCAAGCATCGCTAGGGAAGAGAGCCTCTGTAAGTTTATAAAGTAGTTTGAGGCGACTTTTTGACTCTACAACGAGAGTCGGGAAGAAGCCGTTGAGTCAATCTGGGCCAAATGAGAGGTGGAGGCCTGTCAGTGTTGAGTGATATAGCTGACGGCGATAAGTTTTGTTAGAATGCGGAGCTGGGCACGCTTACAAAAGCTACATATCATTCTTATGACGGAGTTTAAATTCACGACGCGCGGGCTTCCCACACATATTTACGCACCACGGATGTGATGGCCAGCTTGTTGGCGGACCACCTCATGGTGGTGAATCTTGTCGGGTGCACCACCCGCGGACAGCACTCGGGACCTGGATCGACGCGGGACAAGCGACGTCGCCTGGCTCGGTGTCCTCGCAACATAGGTTTATGAGGATGCCTGCAAGACAACGAGACGTGTGCTCGCTTCAACCTCGTTTCCCGTTGACCGCTGTACGTCAATATCTCGTCCCGAACAAAATGTCAGAAAAAAATTGAATTATCTTGTAGCATCTAGATTGCTCATGAGGCTTGAGAACCTAGGGTCATCATGAGAAGAGGGAAATAGTTCGTGATATCGCCTGAGATTGGTCAGGAGACGTTCAAAGTAAGTAACGCAAGCGACGTAAGAAAATGGATTACTCTATTTACTTATTATCGTTAGCAGAATAGCTTACCCAGTTACTTATCAATCAGTCTGCACCTGAGATTGCCGAGCGGCTAGATGATCTCTCTTGAGAACTTGGCCCGCTTGGCGAGAGCAGCTGAGCGCTCTTATCAGATTTTTTTTCTGACATTATTTTGTCTGGGGACGCCTAGCCGCTGACGCTGTTCCTGGAGCTGCGTCGCCGTCGGGGTCGTTTTCCTGGGGTTGCGTGGCCATCAGACCTTCCTTTGCCTTGTCTGACTGGAGAGCCGTGCTGTCACGGAGCTTTCTCCACGACCGCGCGAACTTTCAGCCACGTAGCATGCATCGGTCAGAGGGCGCGTCGTCGACAGCATTCGCGGACACATGCAGCTGTCCATACGGCTGATGACCGGTCTCCTAACCTGTGTCTCTTCCTCGGATCCCGTGGACACAAGCTCGCATGGGGAGATCTCGGCGAACGGGTTTCTGTGCAATACCTCCACATATGTGCACGAACATAAACGTCACAAGCTTCACCGTCTTGTGTCCTCGTGAAACGACATAGAACGATGGCAAACCGACAGACGGCTCGGTCTAGAAGACGACCTGTGGTGCGGTCTTTCAGCACAGCCGACGCTGTGTCTGCGAGGTCGAATGAAGACCACCTGTGTGCCGACTAAGAACTGGTCAAGCGGGCGCAGCTACTGTAGGCGGTCTCGCGACGCCTCGTTCCGCGTCCTACGCTTGGAGTATAAAGCCTCGAGTTTCTCCCTCATGTACGGCAGTTCTTCTCCTCGAAGACACTGTACAGTCGCACCGCAGCTACCTCACCCTCGTCTTCATCATGTGCATCGACGGCAACAGCGGACCTCTCTCCATCCGTTACGTCACCGCCCAGCTCGAGGCCCTCTGGCACAACGCGAACGACTGCGCCCCGCATGCGGCCCACTACGACTACAAGTCGAACGAGTACGAGGGCAGCCGGTATATCCGGGCTCTGCGTGAGTTCCACTTCCTCACTAGGCGTGCCACCACCGGCCTGCGCGAAGACGACCTGTTCTTCTCGGCCAAGTTCGCGATGCCGGAGCTCAAGTTCCTGTGCAACCACACGGTCTTCCTTCGCCTGAACATCGAGTCGGGCCACCTGAACTTGTCCTACAAGGACTCGGCGAAGCTGAGCGCACGCGCCGATCAGTACGTTCGCGAAGCATCTTGCTCGACGTCTGCTAATATTCCCGCCGCAGCTCGAAGAACATTGCGTTGAAGGACGTCGAGGTTGTGTTCGCGCTTCCGATTCTGCGGAGCAACATCAGCGGACGCGACGAAAAGATCGGCAACCTGGGTGCCAGGCACCTGGTCCAGATGATGATCTTCGCTCTCGACCGTGAGTGTAGCCATCGGTCGTAGATATGACCCGTCGCTCATGATTCTGTAGAGGAGAAGTTTGTGAGGTTCACGCTGGGCGACAACAAGCTGAGCGATGACGCCAAGGAGGCGTTCCAATTCTACCTGAAGCACTACTTGCTCTTCCTGCAGACGTCGGGCAACCATGTAATGTTCGACTTGGCTGACTTTGACGACTCTAAGCACCGTCCGCGGATCGACTACTCGGTTCTCCGGACGGAGAGTACGGATGAGCTGCGGCAGCTGATCCGCAAAGATATCAGGATTCTCGACAAGGTTGACCCGGCACTGATCGCGCAGTTCTACCAGATGCACTGGCAGAATGCGTGTGGCAAGCGGAATGGACCGGCATGGGGCAAGCTCGATCTGTGTCTGGCGACGATCTGCAGCGACTGGATCAACGGATGTTCGCTGGAGAACATCCACTTCTTCATCAACTTCCACTCTCCGACGGTCGAGCCTCTGTGCAATCAGGAGGTGATCATCAAGTTCCACATCAAGGAGCTCGGGTTCTTCGAGAAGGCTGGCATCAACGACACGTGAGTTCCATGCTTACATTATTCTCCTTTTCATGTGTTTCGCGAGTTCTGACCAGGGTCTTGATCCAGCGTGACCCCAAAGGTGGACCTCTCTGACCAGCAGTGGCAGTTCGCCTTCATCGTCAAGTGTGTCAGGGCCGAAGGCCTCGGCGTGGTGACCTTGGACCTCGACAGTACGTCTTTCAGTTTCGTTCGTTCGTAGCGTATATACCAGGGAGATAACACCATGGACTACAGCCGCACGCTTCTCTCGCTTCGACTCGTTCTTCGGCAACGGCGAGCCCGATGAGCAGACCAAGCATTACATCGACCTCATGATCAAATTCTTCTCCCACGACTACATCGACATCCTCGCCCGCTTCAGCCTCCACATCATCCTCGGCCTGCCCCTCGCGCCGGACAGCTTCGGCAGGGACTACGCGGCCGAGTGGACGGAGACGGAGGAGAACGAGGGCGACCACTTCGCCAGGAAGCACACTCACGCGATGATGTGGTCCGAGCGGATCCAGCACACGCCAGTCTACCCTGGCTGCCACGAGGTCGTTGCGCTCTCTGAGGAGACCATTAATCGAGTCCTGCGGAGCCGATTGGAGACGGTGCGGGAGTGGCAGATCGGCAATTTGTTCTCGATCAACATTCTAGACCTGAAGGTCCGGCTGCTGACGAGCGGCAAGGCAATCATCTACATCCAAGCGAACGGCATGATTGCAGTCCGCAAGTGAGTGCCGCGCCGTCTCTCGACGATAACCAGCGGGCTGACTGACTGACTGCATAACAGACGGGAGAAGTCGCTCAAGTGGTGGACGAGGCTGTTCTGGATGCATCCTCAGCCGACCGACCAGCTCGACACCGTCGACTTTGAGGCCGTCACGCTCGCATACGAGGTAGACATCTCCAAGGTCCCGCACGACTTCCTCATCGTCGAGGTCGACACCGTTGTCACGGACTACTACAAGACCTGGACTAGTCGCTTCGTAGAGACGCTTCGCCGCTCACACACCACCACCGCCACCCGCCCTACAGGCTCCACCACCACCACCGTCGAGACGACGGAGACGACGGAAACCACCGTCAGCGGCACAGATCACAGCCGAGACGTGGAACAGACCATCACGGTGGATGCTGTCCACCTCATGCACTTCATCTTGAACCTCAAGGGTATGTCTTCGTCCCTGGCTTCCGATGTCTTCTGCTGCTGACGCCCCGACTCACAGGTGCACGCTACGTCGAGGAACTTTCGATCGTCACCGACCTCGGCACCGACGACACCTCGCTCGAGAAGCTCAACACCATCAGGCAGTACATCCCCGAGTACCTCGCCGCCCTCACCCACTACGGCCACAACATCCTCCACACCGTCCCCATCTGCAAGCTTCCCCGCACCGACAAGCCCTCGGACCTGTTCGCGTTCACGGACGTCGACCACCGCGTTCTCACCAAGAAGGAGATCAACATTGACACCTGCCTCAACTTCGAGACCCTTGAGACCGAGATCCCGCTCGTCGTCATCTACGGCGTCACCGGTGGTGCCAGGATGCCGACGTTCAGTGGCAAATGGGCCGCCGGCTGGCAGGCTGTCGGTCGCGAGTCTGTCGGCACGCTGGGCCTGTCGCGTGAGATTTTCCTGCAGCGGTACATTCTCGAGCAGCTCAAGAACGTCAATGCGATGACGACGATCATCCCCAAGAACGTCGATGTCGTTGACGATGTCTGGCACGTTGACCTGACGACATGGTACCTGCACCCGACGCGGAACCAGTCCAAGGTTGGGTGCCAGTGGAAGCCGGTCAAGTCCGAGTCGCTGGACTTCATGGAGTACGAGTGGAAGTACCGCGACGAGTGGAATCACGAGCACGAGGGTCACTCCGAGGACACAGCCAACGGCGAATACTACCTTCACTGTACGTACACATCCGCAGCCGCAACTGATGATCAGGATGGACGCTCACGGTTGATGCAGGCAACACGAAGAACTCGCTCATCATCCCGACCATGTTCGACCCCAAGGGTATCGAGCTCGACCTCCGCGGCGAGACCACCGTCAAGGTCGGTGGCAAGCACAACGGCCAGAAGTGGAGGTGCGTAGGAGTGCCTTCCCGCTTGTTGTGAAAGCGTCATCATGCTGATGACCTCCATGCAGCCGGTCCACCGTCGGCACCTGGGGTGCCAAGATCAAGCTCGACACCTCCAACGGCCTCAAGATCGTCGTCGACCGCATTCCCATCCAGGTCAAGCCAACCGTCGAGACTTGCACCGACTCGTGGACATTCGACCCGAGTACGATCCACTTCCAGAACTTGTCGCTCAAGAGCGATGCGCTCGACGGGCTCGTCATCGGACAGCTTCGCCACCTCCTCGAGGCGTCCTGGGAATACTGTGTCATGGGTATCCAGTCCATCAAGCTTCGCGCGCCCGTCATCACTCGTGACGGCGACTTCATCTGCGAGCTCGACCTCGACAAGGGTGCGTGGGCCAGTTTTGGATCTTTTGCATGGAATCCAATCTGACGTCCTTTGTCACAGACATGGTTCGCCCTCCGATGCTCGACGTCGCGGAGTGGGTCAAGTACAGGACCAGGTGGTATTCTGAGTGGGGTGCGTCCTATCTCGTTCACGCCTCCTGTACCCCATGCTGATATAACCCTTGTGCAGTCGAGAACGGCAAGCTGAAGGCGCGGGACTACGGTCAGATCCGTGGCGAGTACACGGTCGACAAGGACGGCAGGGTCGATACCACGCCGGTGGCAGACCGCGGCGTCCCCACGGCAGAAGAGCCCGTCACCATACCCTACAACGTCGCCAATGGTCAAGCGCAGCCCAATGGCACAGCTGCTAAGGCGGTCGATCCCGCTCCCGCTCCGACTCCTGCTAAGGCTCCTGCTCCTGCTAATGGCGCCGCTGGGACCAACGGTGCTGCTGCTCCTCAGCCCACTCCTGAGCCTGCTACAGCTGCCGCGTGAACAGCCCTTTCCGAGCCCACCTCGACCCCACACACTATGGTGTGAGCTATCGGACTTGAACAATCTGTTAGTGTATCTGGCTGCTGTTTTCCCATCTTTGTTGTCTGTTGTGCTATTGTTCTGTAATACGGCTGGGTCTATATGCATATTTTTCTTCTCGCTCGACCCCTCAAGAGCCCGAGATATAAATCATCGTTTGACCCTGTCATCAATTTGGTGGAGATGCGCTGTCTGCAACTCGTCTTAGTCTAGGGCACAATCAGCGTCGCCGACGAGGAGCTTCTGGCTGGCACGCACGTACAATGTAAGAGCGATATCACCCTCGTCTGAGTAGCCTTCTACGGTAGAATCCGATCTTCCCCTGCTCTGCTCACCGGACGTCGAGCCGCTTCGTTTATGGAGCTTACCGATGTTCAACGAGCGTCCAAACTCGTCCAGCCCCTGGCTGAAATGTCGATACACAGCTGACTTTGTCTGCACCGCGCTAGGCGAAACGAGGTCGATATCTGAGTACTCGGTGTAGCCTGAGTGGATCGACGAGCGGCGCAGATTCATTATGAACCTGCATACGAGGATCGGCGGCTGTGGCGGCGTATCAATCGCAAATTGGAGTACCAGGGCTAGCAGTGCAGCTTACCAACGCGTCCAAGAATAGTCCCGCGAAGGCCGTTGACTGCGCGAAAGATGATTCGTCAATTTGTTGTCGTGAAATGAAATGAAGCCTCAGTTACCGGACCATGCGTGAGAACTAATATCTCGGCAATATTAACGAGCATCATAGCCCTGCATAGCTGGTCAGCGATGGCAGGCGAAGTCGAATGGTGGGTAGTTACATAAAATACACGGTTCCTAGAGGCCATGATAAGCGTCGTGCGACGGCAGGGAGGGTAAGATACTACCGTTGCGGATAAGAGTCTGCGTCAACGAGACTCGACCTCGAATATTGACGAAGTCCTGCTGCCGGCGGTAGAACTTCTTCCATGCCAGGATGATGATGATCGATTCTCCTATGATGATCGATTCTCCTATAATCACCGGTATCCGACCGCATAATGCGACTAGTGTATAGCTATATCAGTGGCTTGACTGGTAGGACGCGTCACTTGTCTTACTTTTAGATACGTTCCATTCAGTAATGAACGAAACTCACAGACTCAGATACACACGCTAGGTTGGCTCCGTTCGAGATACTGTACTTTTACGACCGTAGTGGATGTCACACATCACACCGGTTTTCGGCTGACACCGCCAATAATATTTTCTCGATTTATGGCGATTTTTGAAGACTTGTCGGAAAAATTCATTTTGGGCACTTTCATCCGCTACGGTCCTGGGGGTTCGGTAGGAGCTTGCGGCGTACATATCACTAGCCGCGGACCTATGAAGGGCAGAGCCGCCACACGAATAGAGGTTGGGTACTGTGCGTCAGGTGTAAAAGGTATAAGTAGGCCCAGTCCTTCCAGGAGGAAGACGACACTGACAGCGTTAGCCATGATCGGAGCCAGGATCAGGATCAAGACGACAAGCGATATAGTGCGATTCCGATTTGTTATTGCGAACACCCGCAAGCCGGCGAAGACTGGCGTAGGAATCAGTCTGTGAATGTTGTTGGGACAGCACAGACTGTCACGTACTTGCTGTCTGAGCATACCCTATTAAAGCGTGAATCAGGGTCATATTCGTCCGTAGACCGCATCTGCAATATGATCCGTAAGTTCAGCTGACAGGTAGCTGTATATATGAGTACATCAGGAACAAATAACCATTCTACCCGATGCTACCCGAGCTTGGTAGTGCTCCGAAGCATCGGGTAGCATCGGTAGAATGGTCAGTGTTTCCTGATGTAAGTGGAGCGACATAGAGCAGCGTACCTCTGGTGACGGTTGCGGCAGAACGAGCAATATGACCTCGAATAGCAATGTCCAGCGTATGGTAAGGAGAAGGGCAGATGCAGGGCTGAACTTTCGCCGCCACACGACAGTCACCTCTTGCCCGAACGAGATGGCGTACTCGTAGAAAATGAGCGCTAAAGGTTGTTAAGGACTTGCACTCTGACTGATTGTGCGGCAGCTTACCTGCGACAGCGGTCAGCAGGAGGCATGTCGTGAAAATTTCGGGCACATGTCAGACTGTGTGCAGTGCAGATGGTGTGGGGAGAGCCTACATGGATTCTATGGTGCCTGCACCCAGATCCAGCCCTGGAGGAACAGCATTTTGTGACATATTCGGAGCTGATGACAAGAGGTAGGGGCAGAGTATCATTTGCCATGACTTCTTCCAGTTTGTCGAGAGCCAGACTTATGTACGTGGAAGGAATGCTGGGATGGGATAGTGAGATGCGCAGTAGAGGGATCCTGCATGTCATCAATTGTGCTTCTCCATCACCATCGTAACAATTCGAAGGACTGACGATAAGCTCATGGCAGATTGTGATTGCGGGATTTCCCAGGGAGTTCTGATTAATTTGGGCTTTCGTTGTTGCCGCTTCGAATGGTCACAAACGTGGGCGGACAGCCGTACCCACGCGGACTGATTCTCGGGAATCTACATAACACATGAGCACGATGCCGTTATCAAAAAGCTCGAGCTCCACTGTTTGATCAAGAGACTAGCTAGATACGACGGCGCACCCTGCGGCGGCGACTGTCTCGCGGAGATCCAGCAGTGGCCCCAGAGATGTCGACCGACGGTACCACGGAGCCCTCGTCATAGAGAACCTGCGTCGTATAAATTCACAGTTCTTGCGGTGCCAAATGTCGCTGTAGCGCACTCAAGATACGCTCCTCACCTCTCGTAAACACCTGCTTGCTCGGGCTTGCGAAACTGAGCCCCGCGGAGTCATGGAAGGGTACTCCGCCTGCGGCATACGGCAAATGGTCAGTTTTCACGGAATATGCCTCCTAGACAGCACACACCTGATTCTTAAAGTCCTCGGGCCACATTAATCCTGAGAATTGTCGCCCAAAACCATATATCTCGTATATAGCCGGGCGCTGATCATGATCGCGGCGAGGACGGTGTGCCATGGGGACGCTCGAGAAATTCGCATCTCATAGCTCTCTGTTAAAAGTCGCTCTGTGCCGTCGAGGGCAGGGACGGCGCAGTAACTGGAGATGCGGCAGGTTCGGCATCGCCATTCGTCGGTAACTACGTCTGATCTGGTCTAAAAATGGGAAGAAAGACTGTGGTAAGTATCCATTTCATCGGAGGCTGTGACAAGTGCGATAAATCCAACGATGAACCCACAGCAGGATTGGACTCCGAGAGCCTGAGTCAAGGGCTCCATGAGGGCTCTCATACAAGAAAAGTCTGAACTCACAGAGGGTATAGAACACAGATTTAGCTTCTGCAAATGAACGAATGGCGGGTGGGAACGCAGGAAGCGAGTTTGACTGATGCTAGAACGTTGAGGGTTGCGACGTTGAAATTTTGAAAGCAGGACCTCGTGCTGATTGAGATTTAAGGCGCTGACATTGTGGCGCCGGCCGGGACGGTCCGGTAGCACACATCATCATGCCGTTCGACGTTCAAGGGGGGCAAAATTAACTTGGTCTGGAAGAGGTGCCAAAGAGTCGCACTTATCAGCTCCTCCGGTAAAACTGTAATTGGGTAGGTTTTGGGCACGATGCATGATGATCGGCCCATTAACCCCGCTGCCGCTGTGTCAAGGCTGCGCCTGCGCGTACCACCGCTTGGGTATGCGAAACAGGAAATTGTTTTCGCCATTCTCCTGAGGTCTGGGATGATTATTGTAATGTAGTCGCTCCGTGCCCCCGCCCGCCTCCGTTGCGGTGCCGTCGCCAGCGTACGGTACAACGTTACCTACTTGCTTGGATCTTTATACTATGTTTTAGACACCACAGGCATTCCGGAGGCGACAAGCTACGTGTGGGACACTGTATTCAATCAGCCCTGACACAGTGTTTATCTAAGGCGCGGGCCGGAGTTCCCGCAGGCGGATCAGGCGCCGCGCCCGAGGCATCGGCGCGACGCGTCAGCGCGGAAGAGGCCCCAGAGCGCTCTGGCGCCTTGAGCGGAAGAGTCGCGTTTGAAGCGTATCTTGGACATTCTGCAGCCATAGAGCTGCATCTGATGATCTTTGCCCACCATTTTTTCCCAGGTTTTGGCTAGGGCCTGAGCTGTGAGGGAGTCGTTCTCGGTCATCGCATTCTTTGCCATGGCAGTCTCCAAGGTCTCCTGTCGTGCATACTTGGTTTTCCAAGCTTTCTCGTAGGATTACACACTAAAAGGCGGTAAATACTACGGGAGCTGTTCATTCCCACACTTCTCGGCGTGCCTGCGGCCCTCAGTGCCCTCCTCATCATAGTGGCTTCGGTTTCAGCGTGCTCGGGTCCCTGGCGATTCCGACCAGACCTTCGTACGCGGCATTGTCCCCTGGCATATCTGGCAGGCATACGAGGACTAACAACACTTGTACAGTATGTACACAAAGCGGAAGCACGACAATCATGTTGATGTCGTGCGCATAGATGCGCACCGAAATGAGCGAAACGAGATTTCCATCCTCGATGCTGACTAGTGATGTGCGGGCCGGGCCTCAAAGCCCGCGAGCCCGCCAAGCCCGGCCCAAAAAGCCTGACCCGAGCCAAGCCTGGCAGCGGGCTCAAGGCCGGGCTCGGAGCGTAGTCAAGCCCAAGCCCGGCCCGAAAGCCCAGGCTTGGGTGCACCGGCTCTGTTACTGTCCCCTGAGTTCAGAATAAGGTGAGAGAGATCTAATATGTACATACCAGACATGATATGGATATTCTAGACTCGACGGTTCCCGCCGAGCACGACTGTGCATCACCGTCTGGTGTCTGCCATAGGCGCGCGCTCGTGGGCTCCATTGCGACTCGACTTATTCTGCAAGTGTACGTCTTCTGGAGGCTGAATTCAGTGAGTACATGCAGCAATAATCTACTACATCCAAACATACTCCCTTTTCATAGCACCACAATACCCATTGTACTGTGAGCAAGCCCGGGCTTAAGCCTGCGGCTTGGGCCGGGCTCGGACTCGGCTCGGGCTCAGGGCTCGGCTCGACGTTGCCACAAGCCCAAGCCCGGGCTTTGAGCCCAAACCGGGCCCGCACATCACTAATGCCGACTGTTTCGTCTCCCTGCATTCGCGCCCTTCTCGTATGTCGGACCAATGCGCAGGCAAGACGCGGGCGCTGCGACAGATACAGTCGCCAATATGTCACTTGATGTCGAAGCTGGAGCCTGGAGCTCGCAGAAGAGTGCGACCCAGTTGTCTGGGAGACGTGTATGCAGGACAGGGATGCCTTGATATTCTCTATCACCGTCGAAAGATGAAGCTGATTAAAATTGAGCCACTACTTTACAACGTATGAATAATCGTTTGATACAGCTATAAGTGTCATGGTAGTGGAGCTGCACTATCTGCAGATCGTTTTAGCCTAGAGCACAATTAGCATCGCTCGTGAGGATATTCTGTGTGGGAAACACGTACACCGCAAGAATAATTCCAGTCTCGTCCGAGTAGTCTTCCATGGTCGACTCCGATAACACCGATCCGCCTCTGTTCCGCCAACTGGTAGTCGAGTTGCTTCGTGTACGGCTCCCACCCACGTCCAGCGAGCGTCCGAATTCATCTAACCCCTGATTAAAATGTCGGAACACAACTGACTTCGTCTGTATCTCTCCAGGCAAATCCAGCTCGACCTGTGAGTCCTTGGTGTAGCCCGAATGGTCCGACGAGCGGCGCAGGTTCATTATGAACCTGCATATGAGAATTGGAGGCTGTAACAGAGTATCAATCGCGGGTTGTAGTGCCAGCGTACACGCTGCTCGGCTTACTAGCGCATCCAGGAATGGTCCTGCGAAGGCCGTCGACTGCGCGAAAGACGATTTGTCAGGCTATCATCGCAAAACGAGAATGAAGCTCCAGCTACCTGACCATGTGTGAGAACTAATATCTCAGCAATATTAACGAACATCATAACCCTGCATAGCTTGTAAGCAACAGAACGTGGAATCGAGCATCTAGGTGATTACATGAAATACACAGTCCCTGGAGGCCTTAGTCAGTATTGTGCGACGGCAGAAAGAGTGAGATCGTACCGTCGCAGATAAGGGTCTGAGTCAGTGAAGCTGGACCACGAATATTGACGAGAATTTGCTGCCGACGGTAGGCCTTCTTCCATGTCAGAACGATAGTAATCGATTCTCCCACAATCACCGGTATCCGACCGCATAACGCGACTAATGCACAACTGGGTCAGTAACCTATCTCGGTAGTCATGTCGCCTATCTTACTTCTAGATGTCTGCCGTTGTCAGTAATGAATGGCATTCACAGCCTCAAATACGCACGCTAGGCTGACCTTGTTCGAGATGAGCGTTTTAGGCGTGCATATCACTAGCCGCGGACCTATGAAGGGCAGAGCTACTGCACGAATAGCGATCGCATACTGTGCATCAAGCGCAAAAGGTGTCAGCGAGCCCAGTCCTTCCAGGAGGAGGATGGTACATACAGAGTTGGTTATGACCGGGGTCAAAATCAGGATCAAGACGACGAGCGACAGGATGTAATTGTGATTCGTTATCGCAAACACTCGCAAGCCGGCGAAGACTGGCGTAGGAATCAGTCTGTGAATGTTGTTGCATGGACAACACAGACTGTCACGTACTTGCTGCCTGAGCATACCCCATTAGAGCGGGGACTAGGATCATATTTGTTCGGGAACCGCATCTACAATGTAGTCTGTAAGCTCAAATAGCAGGTAGTCTTACATTTTAGATGCACCTCTATCCTTGAGACATTCAGATAAGTAAGTGGAACGGCATAGAGCAGCGTACCTCTGGTGACGGTTGTGGCAGAACGAGCGATATGGCCTCGAATAGCAATGTCCAGCGTATGGTAAGGAGGAGGAGGGATGCAGGACTGAGCTTTCGCTGCCACACGACAGTCACCTCTTGCCCGAGCAAGATGGCGTACTCGTAGAAAATGAGCGCTAAAGGCTGTTAAGGACTTGCACTCCGACTGATTGTACGGCAGCTTACCTGCGACAGCGGCCAGCAAGAGGGGTGCCGTGGAACTTTCGGGCACATGTCAGACTGTGTGCAATGCAGATAGCACGGGGAGAGCCTACATGGATTCTATGGTGCCTGCACCTAGATCCGGCCCTGGCGAACTAGCATTTTGTGACATTTTCGAAACCGATGACAAGAGGGGTCATAAAAGTGTCCACAGCCGTAAATTCTTCCAGCCTATAGAGAGCTAGGCTTCTGTATGTGTACGTGGAGAGAGGAAGGCTGGGATGAGGAGGGGTGAGGTAGGGCAGAGGGATACCACATATCGTCAACGGTGCTTCCCCATCCCCATCATAAGAAGTCGAAGGATTGATGGCAGGATCCGGTTGTGGACCCTAAGTTATGTAAAGGTTTCCTAGGAATTTCTTGATCATCTGGTCCACTGTTCCCACCACTTCGAATGAACAAGGACGCTTACGGGCTATTATGCCCACGCAGACCTGATCCACGCAACATGTGGGTACGATACCGTCAATTGAAATTCTCAAGCCCCAAGGATTTAGACAGGTATGACAGCGTACCCCGTGGTGGCGACTGTTCACTGAGATTCCACAGGAGCTCTAACGATGTTGAACAAGCTCGACTGTGCCGCAGCACAGCCCTCACCGTACGGGGAACTATGTTAGATAAATCTTTCGTTCTTTAGATGCTGAAGACGATTGCAGTGCACTCGGGATATGCATCTAACCTCTTGCAGGCATTTTCCCGCTCGGGCTTGCGAACTTGAACCCCACGAGGTTGTGCAAGGGCGTTCCACCTGTAGCATATGGTAAATGATTAGTTGCTTACGGAAGATCTCTTCTGAACACAACACACCTTGTCCCTGGAGTTAGAATAGCATGTCGGTCCTGGGAGCTATCGCCCAAAATGAGATATCCAGCCCATAGCCGGGCGCTGGCCGTGACCGCGTCGACGGCCTCCGCGGCGAAGATGGAGTATCATGGGCACGCTCGATCAGTTCGATCCCCACCACTCCATGTTCAGGCAGAGACAGTGTAGTTTGCATCAGAAACGCGGCAGGTTCGGCACTGCTCGTCTAGTTCGAAACTCCGAGCTACACGTGGGGTCTAGTCTGAGTATCCGTTTCATCGGAGGCGGTATCTAGAACGATGGATTCAGTGATGTTTACGACAAACCTCAGGCGCCGACATTGTGGCGTTGTCGAGTCTCGACTGTGCCATGCCGTTCGATGCTCAGCAGGCGCAACATTTTCTCGATATGGAAAGGTGCTGCAGAGAGTAGCACATCACCTCAGGGCTGCGCTCTTGAGGAGGGTAAATGAACCATCCAACCTGGCTAGAATAGGTCCTGATCGAGCACAGATGAGATACACGGAAGGTAAATTCTGAACGCACCCCTGGACACACCCCTGGGCACCGGGCCTGGGAACAAACCAACTGGGTCTGGAGAGTTTTCTCATCTAAAGTGGCTGCGAAGATCTTATGCTGTGGATCGTATTTCCCGACAAGATAAAGGAATTTAGCGCCACCTTGTAGGTCACGGACGCACGTTCGTTGGTTCATCGTGGCAGGTCCTGTCTTGCGCGGCGTGCGCCTTTTTCTCTTCTTCAGCCGTGATGCTCTGATGCGCCATCAAAACGGCCGCTCGCGATGCGTCATCTTATCACGTGAGAACTTTGACCTCATTTGGGGTAGTCACTCGTCCATGGTCGATTTCTCTGGTTTATACGGTAATTATCAGTGGTACTTCGACTCTGCCAGTGCTCCTCGCACAGATGAAGCTTATCGCCTGCACACGCGGTAGGACTGAAATCAAGGTTTGCAAACTTGATACGGCACATACGCGATGCGTCTTCTTGCTGCTGTCGTTATGCGAGCTTACGTGGACGAGCAGGAGCAGAAGTAAAGTGCAATTGTGATTGGCTACAAGATGCTAGACACAAAGAGTAGTCTGCAAACTCCGTCGTACACATACAATATACAAATACATTTAGAGAGTAGTTAAATCAGCAGGGTAGAATTTATCATTGGGTGAACGAAAGAAACCGCAGCAATGGGTAGAACTACAGCCCGTTTCCATCAGTTTTGGGTGCCATTGGCTGATTTAAAATTGTTTTTCACCTATTTTATCTCGGCACGAGACCGAAAAAAGCGGTTCTTGTTTGACCAGTTTTGGCTAGGCCATGCCAAGAAGAACACCTTGCTTGTAACCTCGTGGAAGCCACTGATATAGATTCTACTTTTGTGCCTAAACCACAAGTACTTATAATTTCACATTTGGGATGTCTCCCATGCGTTCTTACAGTTTGAGGCTCAAGTTGACGTGGGCAGCCTTGACCTGAGTATAGGCCTCAAGAGCATACTCGCTCATCTCTTTACCGTGACCCAATTGCTTATAGCCGCCGAATGGTATCTGCGAGCAAAGCAAGCGAAGCCTGATTAATCTGTGCCATACCCGTCAGTGTCTGTTAGCTAAGACCATGTCAAAGCTATACTCACGAAGCAGTTGCCGACCTCAAGCGCGACTAACGTTCTCAGTGAACACGTAGCTCGACAGGCTGTGATCGGTGTCGTTCGTGGCCTCGAGCGCCTCCTCCTCGGTCTTGAACTTCGACACGATGGCAACGGGTCCGAAGATCTCTTCTCGCACAATCTTCATGTCTGACTTCACGTCAGCGAAGATCTTCGGTTTCACGAAGTAGCCTGATCCCTCGGCACGCGAGCCACCGGTAATGATGCATGCACCTTCCTGCTTGCCGGACTCGATGTAGCCGAGCACGCGGTCAAGCTGCGTCATGGAAACAACAGGACCTTGCTGGGTCGTCGCCTTGAAACCATCGCCCTGCTTAATCGACGCGGCGGTGGCGGCGAAGGCCCGGAGGAACTTGTCGTAGATGCCCTCCTGGACGAAGATGCGCGAGCCGGCAGCGCACATTTGGCCACTGTTATGGCTATTAATTCAACAGCGTGAGTGTCCGACAAGTTGACAATTATTGCAAGAGACCTACAAGATGGTCGCGCAGACCCACTTAACGGTCTGCTCGAGATCTGCGTCGTCGAAGATAATCGTCGGGCTCTTGCCCCCAAGTTCGAGCGTCACATGCTTCAAATTCGTGTTCGCTGCAGTCTCCATGACTTTGCGGCCAACGAGCGTGCTGCCAGTGAACGATACCTTGCCAACCAGTGGATGCTTTGTGAGCACCTGTCCTGCGACTGCACCGTAGCCGGTCACAACATTGAAGACACCGTCGGGGAAGCCGGCCTCCTTAACGGGCTCGGCGAGCTTGAGTGCAGAGAGTGGCATTACCTCGGACGGCTTGAGGACGATGGTGTTGCCAGCTGCCAGCGCGGGAGCAATTTTCCAACTGGTGATTATTACTACAGATAGAAGTTAGCATGTGTGTCGACACAATGAAGTAGGAGGAACGAACTTGGAAAGTTTCATGGAATGATCCTTGCCTGATAAGCTGTTAGCGCGTTCTACCCCATGCGATGCTGCGAGCAGGACCAACCACGACACCAATGGGTTCGTGTCGAGTGTAGGCGAACTTGGCTTCTGTTGTCTGCAGAAAACTTGTAAGCAATCAGGATGTGCAAGTTGAGCAAGTGGAAGAATACCTCGATGGTCTGATCATGGTTCTTGTCTGCCCAGCCAGCGAAGTAGCGCAGGTTGTCGATAGCGTCCTGAACGTCTTGGCTCTTTGCATGAACGAAGGGCTTGCCTGTACATGATAAGCACAGTAAATCCATGTCGAACCTACGCGTACGTACCAACATCGAGAGCCTCAGTGACTGCAAATGCATCTGCGTTCTTCTTGAGGAGCTCTGCAAGTTTGTACAGGAGCTTTCCACGCCCGGAACCAGGTGTCTTGAGGCCCCAGGAGGCTTTGAATGCAGCCCTCGCAGCCTTGACAGCAATGTCGATGTCTTTTGAGTTTCCAACCGAAACCTTTGTGATAACACCGCCGTTCACTTTAAATATGTCAGCACACACACTCTAATGAACAAAGTCGTGGCTTACCAGGATTAAAGACGCTTTGAAAGACAGCATCAGGATATTTGAGACACAAAGACAACAATGACGTACTCAATAGTCTCGTGGTCAACGGGATCAACGAACCGTCCGTTGATGAATAGGCCAGTGTTCACTGTCACGGTGCCCTTGTAGAGATCCACGGAGAACTCGTGAGTGAACATTCCAGGCATTTTGTTGGACTGGCTTTGAAGGCGAGGCTACAATGTGAGGTGGAACACAGCTAATGCATTGTCTTATATATGCCTTTCCTATGCCGTCCTGGAGCGCTCTATACGAGGATATCAAACGTAAACTGTCTTCGCAAGACTATTCTGCGAGGCACTGGCAAGAACAGTGTTTTGACCCTATGGATTGTGGGTGAATTAGATAATAATGCTGATAATCCTTGCGCGCACCTGACCGTCGACGAACATCCCGGCTGACTGGATGCAGGCGGTTGATTTATCTATATTCAAATCTTAGTCATTTTACTTGTTAGATGCGGCAAAGGACGTGCAGGAGAGATAGATGCGTATGCGTTGCTGGTCTCGAGGACGTGGCCTGTAGGTATGTGAAAGATGGACAAGTGCATAGCTGTTCGTTGAATAGCATCGGACGCTTCCAGACTGACGATACGGAGTTTGCGGCGTAGGTTCATGGTATGATAGAACAACATTGGCGAACTTCGATGACGCATTTGTGAGACGGTGCTTGATAAGAACGAAGTGGCTTGCAGGGATGAGTGCGGCGTTACGAGATGCCGCGAGTAAAGAGCCGAAATCCCTTGTAAATTCCTTTCGTGGTCTCCGATATCGCGGATTTGCTGAGGTGAGAAGCGGACGCATCCAAGTGAAAGTTGAGAATGATGCAACTCCTGACCGGCCTGACCGGCGGTCACGGCGATTTCCCACTAACACCTCCAATGATTTTTCTCCGGTTCTGGAGAGTTGTCGGAAAAATTAATTTGAGCGCCTTCGCCAGTTAGGTCGAAAAAGTACATATTACTATACTGGGATAATTTACGGCATAAATCATGATTTTCCTCCTATAGCCATGGTTCGGGCCCGGCCAGCCAGATTTCTTTTCTCCGAACATCTCGTCTACCAGATCAATGTCAATATCAACGCTCAATGAGCCTTGGCTTTTGCCACGCTTCCCTGGTTTTGATGGTTGCTTCACAGCCATCATATCCAGTTAATGAGCTTGGCCGCCCTTCGTTTGTCGCCTTCCATGGTCGTCGTTGCATGTTGCTTATCACCCGGATGCATTCAACGGCCTCGACATGGACTACTACTCTCCACTAGAAAAGAGTTCGTATGCGACAGAAAACCCTCGAACCCTACCGTTAGGGGACGACACACCACCGGGGCGAGGGGCACAGACTCCCCAAAAGGCCGGGTGGTCAGTGTACCACGTGCATGCGTTGGTATGCATTGCATTACATCTCTTCCTCATTCTTGTACATATCGCTCTCCTGGTCGTTTGCTTGGGACACTATGAGCGGGCCATCTCATTCGCCCTCACTCCGTTCACGCTCGAATGGTATTCACTGGCGGCGACAACCCTGGTACAAGTATTCGGGACAGTAAGTCAGCTTTCCGATGGTGTTACGGTTGTCCTTCGGCTGACCAACTGCAGATATTTCTTGCCATATTGGTCTCGTTGACGCAGTCCCTAGCGTTCCGAAGTGATCTCTATGTTCGCCAGACGCTGACTGCTTTACACGACAAGAGCGGTGCCTGGCTTGGGCTCGGCGCAGCGTTCACGTCGCTGTGGGCACAGTTCAAGCTTCGCGCAGCCATAGCTGGTGTCATGTACATCACCGCCTATTTGTTCGGCGTCTGGCTGCTCCATATTACTATACCAACTGTTCTGAACGTGGTACCCTATAACGCAACAGTCTCGACAGTGCATCACACGGTCCTTGCAAATGCGACTTTTGGCACCGAGTAAGTTATTGTGCCAGTTGATACAGTTTACAAGCTCATTTGTCGTTGTAGTTCTGTTTCCGCGTACGACATTCTCTTGGTCTATGACCAGCCCGAGGTGCCTACACTGGGACTCCAAGACAACATGGTTTACGATGTTATCCCCCAAGTGTCTTTCGCGAGCGGGAGTGCCATGGTCAATGCGTCCGTGTACAGCGTCGATTGTGCCGCCTTACCATCTGCCGATCCAATGCTCACAGGTTCCAGGGGCGTCGACCTGCGTGGACAGCCGAACATGACGTGGCTGAGCTTCAGTATCGACGACACGTACGAACAGGGCGTGAACTTCTCAGCAAGTCTTCCTTGTAGGTGTCAGCCTTTGGTCCCTGGGTTCTCTTCCCTCACACGCGCTGTACACCAGACAGCGCCTCGGCGATCTACACCGGGCAAGTGATAAACACAGACCTGGACTGCAGCATGCAGCTATTGCCCGCTGCGTATTCCCGAAGCACATGCTGGGCACCCATCGTCATGCTGTCCACCGTAGCCATTCTGGACTCCGCAGGACACGAAGCACCCGTGCCGGGCGGGCCCTGGAAGCCCATTGATCCACAGGTCATTGTCCCTGTGCCTTATGCGGATCCTGCTGGTAGGCACATCCTTTCCTGACGCCTTCTCTAGTATCACAGGCTAAATTGTACGTGAAGAAATGATCACGGCAGTACAGCTGCTGGCTTGCAACGTAGGAATCACGAATGTCAAAGTTGAAGTGTCAGTCGACACGCGTACGCCAGGAGCTACCACGCAGGGGCCGCAGACCGACAGCACCTTGTGGAAAAACTGGACGCGGCCGACCGACCAGGAGCTGACAGCGCAGCTTCGCATTGTATGTTTCTATTTAGTCTTGCACGGGATCCGCGTTCATGATGCCGTGCGTCCCCAGGCCCAGAGCGCGCCGTCCTACTCGCCCTCGAGCGGGCACCAAAGCTCCTTCGCTGTTGTTGCCGGTTCCGCCAATGTTACGGAGGCCGCGCCTCCGGTGGCGCTGCCAGGCTTGGAGCCGGACACCAACCCTCTGGACGTGAATCCCATCGCGGGTGCGATCCTGCGCGCGTCCTCGGCAAACACGGTCGTGCCCACAGCGTTCGATGTGTTTGTATCTCTACTTTTCCTGCTCGGCTGCGTGTCTCACGTTCTAACAGGTTCTTGACCGAGGACTTACGCATCGCGTCAGAGAGCCGGTCGAACGTGAGCCTCGCGGAGGTTAACCACAGCCTCGCAAGGGCTTTGGCTGCCACGTTCTGGTATGGTGCGTTCACACGGCCTCGTCTCGATTGACAGAGGGTGACCATAGCGCTTGCAGGCAACAACGTCAATTACTCCAGCGCGCACGCCATCTCCGGCCTGGCTACACCTCTCTACTCGGCTCCGTCGAAGCGGTCAGATGTGAGTTTATTCCCGCTGGTCTCTGATCCCAATCTCAATGCAAGCGGTACAAAGGAGGAGTCGCCATATGGCGAAGCAACAATCATGGTGCTTGTCCAGAGGTTGCGCTTGAATGTGAGTCTAAGCTTCTACCTCTACATCCGTAGCTAAATCTCAAATGACTTTCGCGCAGCTGAGCCTAATACCGGTACGCTTCTTCGACACCTCACGTTGCCTGCCGGCGATTAACAGGTCTCATTCAGATCGTCATTGGATTGGTAACGTCGGTTGGGCTCCTTGTCCTCTGCATCTTGGTTACCCGGGTGCCTGCGCCAGCCCGTGCCGCCTTCGATCCACGCATCGTCGTCGACAGCGGAGGCTTATTGCAGTACACGTGGCTCCTTGGAACCGAGCTGCATCTGGCGGGGGTCGAGTCCCCGGAGTTGGGGAACCTGCGGGCTGCGGGGATGTTCGACGTCCATATGAGCGATCGTGTCAGAAAGCGCCTCAACGGTCGGTCACCATCTGTGATTGAATTGGATCAGAGAAGTGACTATGCAGACGATGACTCAATGTAGAGATATCTAGTCGAGCGGTAGACCACATACTAAGGTCGTAGTTTTAGTTCTCCTGCAACTATAGGCACGAAAAGTGTCCTCGCCACCGCAGACATCATCTCTAGCCTTGTACTACCACCGGGAGGCCCCTGCGAGTGACCGCTACTAAACCATTTCTGTCACCAGGCCGCCGGTTCTGGTCATCGTTCACCTACCCTGTTAATGGAACCAGTCTTGCGGAAATAATACCAGGACCTGTGATTGACACGTTCTTGTTCCGTCCGAAAAACTTCGCGCGAATAGAGACGCGCGTGGGGTCTGCCACTAGATGCTGTGGGATGAGATATCACGGAGTGCAAGAACACAGTCGAGAATGGTTCGCGACGGGAGCGATTATCCTTCCATTACTGCGCTTGCAAGCCCTCACAAGCTCTCGCAGGTTCAAAGTGAGCTTCCGCATTACCAATGTCTTCCACCGTCTCTCCTTCTTAAGTCGTCGCACGTCATGTCGCACTAAACACAATTCTCTCTGTTCACCCACCGAGTCGCCCTTGAGGATGGCAGCTGATGCCTGTGAGGCGCTGATATGTTCGGCTTACTGGCGTTACTCTTTTATAAGACACTCTTGTGCGAGTTAGAACTCGACTTTGAGCGCGCATAGTACTTGAGCTTCCGCGGAAGAGAGCAGAAGAGTCTCGAGTGCAATGCCGGCTGCGCTGTCTTCCCTGTATTTGTGCCCTTCTTGTACGGCCTGTCGAACTGCGTAGACAGGGCGCTCGAGCCGCAGCAGATGCAGTCGACGATGTGTCACTTAAATGGCGAAGCTGAAACTCGCGAACGGGTACGAAGGAGTCGAAACGCTGGATTGACCGTGACTAAGTTACTATTTTACAACATATACATGTCTGCTTGATTCAGCTATGAATATAACGAAGACGCACTATCGGTAGTTCGTTATAACCTAGAGAACAGTTAGCGTCGCCGACGAGGAGCTTCCGACTGGGGGATACATACACCGTGAGAGCAATACCACCCTTGTCCGATCCACCTCTGTTCCGCCCACTGACAGCCAAGCCGCTCCGTGTACGGCTCCCACCCACGTCCAGCGAGCGTCCAAACTCGTCCAGCCCCTGGTTGAAATGTCGGAACACAACTGTCTTCGTCTGGATCTCTCCGGGCGAATCGAGGTCAACCTGTGAGTCCTCGGTGTAGCCCGGATGGTCCGACGAGTGGCGCAGATTCATTATAAATCTGCATATGAGAATTGGTGGCTGTAGCGGCGTATCAATCGCGAGTTGTAGCACCAAAGTAGGCTGTTAGACTCACCAGCACATCCAGAAATGGTCCCACGAAGGATGTCGACTGCGCGAAAGATGATTTGTCAGGCCGCTATCTTGAAGCGAGAATGAAGTTCTAGTTACCTGGCCATGCGTAAGAACTAATATCTCAGCAATATTAACTAGCACCATAGCCCTGCATAGCTTGTCAGCGATGGTAAGTGAAATTGAGCATGTGGGTGATTACATAAAATACGCAGTTCCTAGAAACCATAGTCAGCATCGTGCGACGGCAGAAAAAGTGAGATCTTGCCATCACGGATAAGGATCTGCGTCAGCGAGGCTCGGCTTCGAATATTGACGAGATTCTGCTGCCGGTGGTAGGCCTTTTTCCATGTCAGGATGATGGTAATCGATTCTCCTATAATCACCGGTATTCGACCGCATAATGCGACTAATGCACAGCTATATCAGTGGCTTGATTGATGTGTGACGTTGCTCATCTCACTTCTGGATACCTGTCAGTGTCAGTAATGAATGGTATCCACAGCCTCAAATACGCACGTTAGGTTGGCTTTTTTCGAGAGGGGCGCTCTCGGCGTACATATCACTAGCCGCGGACCTATGAAGGGCGGGGCTACTGCATGGATGGCGATCGCATACTGTACATCAAGCGAAGACGGTGTCAGTGGACCCAATCCATACAGGAGGGAGACGACGCTTACAAAGTTGGTTATGACCGGGGTCAAGATCAAGATCAAGACGACGAGCGACAGAATGTGATTGCGATTCGTTATCGCGAACACACGCAAACCAGAGAAGACTAGAGTGAGCATCAGTCTGTAAGTGCTGCTGCATTGATAACACTGTCGCGTACCGGCTGTCTGAGCATACCCCATTAAGGCGGGGACCAGGATCATATTCGTCCGTAGACCGCATCTGCAATGTGATCCGTAAGCCTAGCTGACAGGTAGCCGTATATTCTGGTCGCACCTCTACCCCGAGATATTCAAATGAGTAAGTGGAACGACATAGAGCAGCGTACCTCTGGAGACGGTTGCGGCAGAACGAGCGATATGGCCTCGAACAGCAATGTCCAGCGTATGGTAAGGAGGAGGAGGGATGCAGGGCCGAGCTTTCGCTGCCACACGACGGACACCTCTTGCCCGAATGAGATGGTGTACTCGTAGAAAATGAGCGCTAAAGGCTGTTAAGGACTTGCACTCCGGTTGGTTGTGCGGCAGCTTACCTGCGACAGCGGCCAGCAGGAGGTGTGCCGCGGGGCTTTCGGCTACACGTCAGACTGTGTGCAGCGCAGATAGTATGGAAAGAGCTTACATGGATCCTATAGTGCCTGCACCTAGATCCGGCCCCGGCGAACTAGTGTTTTGTGACATTTTCGGAACTGATGACAGGGTGGGACAAAGAAGTGTCCTTATCCGTAACGTTTTCCAGTCTATGGAGAGCTGAGCTTGTGTGTGTGGAGGAGAGAAAGCAGGGACGAGATGAGTGAGGTGTGCAGGGTAGGGACTCGGAAATGCCACACGCCATCAACAGTGCTTCCCCATCTCCGCCATAGAAAGTTGAAGGATCGATAATTAGTCCTTGGCAAGATCTGGTTGTGGGCCCTATGCAAAGGTTTCTGTGGGGTTCTTGATCATCTGGTCTATTGTTCTCGCCACCTCGAATGGCCACGAACTATTACGGACTGTTGTACCCACGCATGCCTGATCCTGGTAAATCTACGCACCATGTGAGCACGATGCCGTCAATTGAAATTGTTAAGCCCCACCGCCTGATCTAGGAATTTAGACAGATATGACAGCGTACCCCGTGGTGGCGGCGGTTCGCGGAGATATAACACTGGCCCCAAAGATGTCGAGCGAGATTGACTGCACCACAGTACAGCCCCCAAGGTACGAGTACCTGTGTCAGATAAATTCACAGTTCTTGAGATGCTCAAGATGATCGCAGTGCTCAAGATAGGCATCTAACCTCTTGTAGGCACTTGCCCGTTCAGGCTCGCCCGTGAGATTGTACAAGGCGTTCCGCCTGTAACATATAGCAAGTGGTTGGTTACTCACGGAAGATATCTTCTAAACACAAACGAAACTTGTTCCTGAGGTCTGAATATCATATCGGTCTTGGGAGCTGTCGTCCAAAACAAGATGCCCCGTCCATACGTTGGCCGCGACGGCCACCTCCACGGCAAAGATGGAGCATCATGGAGACGCTCGAGCAGTTCAACTAAAGAGGACACGACTGCGCTGACGCGTCATATTGCCTCGGGCCCGGCGCCTGATCCCGCCCTTGGGCCGGACGTCACAGTGCTACGCCTGTGGTGTCTGAAAGAAAGGCAGAGCCGGTAATTGAAAGTAAGCACTGAGGTAACACCGAATGGTGAACTGACGACAGAACTGCAGCGCGGGCGGCGTGGGCGCCGAGCGACTTGATTACAGTAATCATATCGGACCTCAGAAGCGGAGATTACAATGATCCAGTGACAATAACCTGAACGTTTGAGGAGTACTCACAGGATTGCGGAAAAAAAGTTGTTTTGCATATTCAAGTGATAGTACGCGCAGGGGCGGCGGCCAGCTTGACGCTGCGGGATAAATGGGCTGGTCATAATGTTCTATTTTTTAAGTCAATTCTGCTCTGCGCGCTTTCACTGACGGAGTTGGTGTTGTATACCGCGTAAGCGCGACTTTGTAACACCTTTGCAAGACCGAGCGGCTTCTGCGTCCCTTGAGGGTCGAACGCATGGTACAGCAGGTCATCCCGGTGGCGCCACAATGTCAGCGGCGCCTGAGGTCTGCCCTCAGGCCTCAACCTCAACCTTGACCTCAAACCAGCCCCACTTTCAGCCCTTGACTGGTTTCGTTCAAACCCGCTTCCAACACACTCACTCACTTTTCCTTCATTCTGCAGATGCTGTATTCATGTTCTGTACTCTCTGTGAGTTCAGACTTGTCTTGCATGAAAACCACTTGTGGAGTCCTGAGTCGAACCCTGTTATGGGTTTATCATCGAGTTTATCGCACTTGTCACAGTCTTCGATGCGGATACTTATCACAGTCTTCTTTTCGCATTTCTAGACTACTAGATCAGACCCAATGAGTATCTCGAACCAGGCGACAAATAGCAATGCCGACTCTGCCGACTCTGAGTTCGTCTTGCTAATAAGGGACCTTGTGCCTGTAGTAGAAAGTGACTTTGTTTGATGCCTAGAGCACAGCTAAGATTTTGCGCAGTCTCGGGTGTGCCAGCACGAGACTCTTAGCACGAGCAGCTGATGACGATAAGCTTTTATTTAAATGTGGAGCTCAGCGTGCTTGAGGCAGTTACTTATCTCTCTTACGGCGGGGTTGAAATTTATAGCGCGCGGGCGGCTATAAGTCTCCCACGCGCGTTTCGCATCCGGACTTGGCGTTGCTCACGTACGTGATGACCTTGGCGACGGACCATCCTGTCACGGCTGACACTCGGACTTTGAGCGTCGGGGCCTGAGGTCAACACGGGACGAGCGACATCGCCTGGCCGTGAGTCCTCGCGATAGCTGAGTTCCGTCCCAACATAGCTTGGCCAGCTGGCTTGCAAGGATGCTTGCAGAATAGCGAGTCATGTATACGCTCGCTACAACCGTAATTTCCGCTGACCGCTGTATGTGAGTCTCTCATTCTGTGAACGCTTAGCCGCTGATGTTGTTCCTGGGATGGCGTGGCCATCGGAATCACCAGCGATCCGTCCTGCCATACCTGACTCAAGAACGGACGCTGTCATGGAGCTGCGCGGATTTACCTCCACGTAGCATGCATCGCTGGACAGACACGTCGCTGGCATCATTCGCCGACACGGCTGCCTCTCCGCAGGGCTGATCATCGGCCTCATGTGGACTCGATTTCCCGGAGATGTGATCTCGCCGAACAGATGTCTGGGCGATACCACCGCATGTGTCCATAAACACTGTCTTGACCAGCGCTGTCCGCCTTATGTCTCACGGAATATCAGTCTAGAAGACGGCCCAAGGTACAGCCCTTCAATACAGCCGACGCCATGTTCGCGACCGCTCCTCTCGTCGAACGCGACGGTCCAGTATGGCAAGAGTGGGTGCAGCCCTGAACGCAGTCACGCCTCGTTTCGCGTTCTACGCACAGACTATAAAAGCTCGCGTTTTTCTCTTATTTTCTTCATCCCTCGCCCTCGAGGAATCCGTACAGTCGCACCATCGACACCACCCTCACCCTCGTCTTCATCATGTGCATCGACGGCAACAGCGGGCCCCTCTCCATCCGCTACGTCACCGCCCAGCTCGAGGCCCTCTGGCGCAATGCGAACGACTGCGCCCCGCATGCGGCCCACTACGACTACAAGTCGAACGAGTACGAGAGCACGCGGTACATCCGGGCCCTGCGCGAGTTCCACTTCCTCACCAGGCGTGCCACTACCGGCCTGCGCGAGGACGACCTGTTCTTCTCGGCCAAGTTCGCGATGCCGGAGCTCAAGTTCCTGTGCAACCACACGGTCTTCCTTCGCCTGAACATCGAGTCGGGCCACCTGAACTTGTCCTACAAGGACTCGGCGAAGCTGAGCGCACGCGCCGATCAGTACGTTCGCGAAGCATCTTGCTCGACGTCTGCTAATATTCCCGCCGCAGCTCGAAGAACATTGCGTTGAAGGGCGTCGAGGTTGTGTTCGCGCTTCCGATTCTGCGGAGCAACATCAGCGGACGCGACGAAAAGATCGGCAACCTGGGTGCCAGGCACCTCATCCAGATGATGATCTTCGCTCTCGACCGTGAGTGTAGCCATCGGTCGTAGATATGACCCGTCGCTCATGATTCTGTAGAGGAGAAGTTTGTGAGGTTCACGCTGGGCGACAACAAGCTGAGCGATGACGCCAAGGAGGCGTTCCAATTCTACCTGAAGCACTACTTGCTCTTCCTGCAGACGTCGGGCAACCATGTAATGTTCGACTTGGCCGACTTTGACGACTCTAAGCACCGTCCGCGGATCGACTAGTCGGTTCTCCGGACGGAGAGCACGGATGAGCTGCGGCAGCTGATCCGGAAGGACATCAGGATCTTCGACAAGGTTGACCCGGCACTGATCGCGCAGTTCTACCAGATGCACTGGCAGAATGCGTGTGGCAAGCGGAATGGACCGGCATGGGGCAAGCTCGATCTGTGTCTGGCGACGATCTGCAGCGACTGGATCAACGGATGTTCGCTGGAGAACACCCACTTCTTCATCAACTTCCACTCTCCGACGGTCGAGCCTCTGTGCAACCAGGAGGTGATCATCAAGTTCCACATCAAGGAGCTCGGGTTCTTCGAGAAGGCTGGCATCGATGAGACGTGAGTCCAGCCCTTCCAGATTTCTGCTTACACTTGCATGTTCTAACCAGTGATTCTATCTAGTGTGAACCCGAAGGTGGACCTCTCCGATCAGCAATGGCAGTTTGCTTTCATTGTTAAGTGCGTCAAGGCCGAAGGCCTCGGCGTTGTGACCTTGGACCTCGACAGTACGTTTCTTCGTTTAGTTCATAAAGCGCTGCCGATAACATGATGGTACACAGCTGCACGCTTCTCTCGCTTTGACTCGTTTTTCGGCAAGGGCGAGCCCATCGAGCAGACTAAGCACTACATCGACCTCATGATCAAGTTCTTCTCCCACGACTACATCGACATCCTCGCCCGCTTCAGCCTCCACATCATCCTCGGCCTGCCCCTCTCGCCGGATAACTCCGGCAGGGACTACGCGGCAGAGTGGACGGAGACGGAGGAGAACGAGGGTGACCACTTCGCCAGGAAGCACACGCACGCGATGATGTGGTCTGAGCGGATCCAGAACACGGCAATCTACCCTGGCTGCCACGAGGTCGTTGCACTCTCGGAGGAAACCATTAACCGGGTCCTGCGGAGCCGATTGGAGACGGTGCGGGAGTGGCAGATCGGCAAGCTTTTCTCGATCAACATCCTGGACCTGAAGGTCCGGCTGCTGACGAGCGGCAAGGCGATTATCTACATCCAAGCGAACGGCATGATTTCGGTCCGCAAGTGAGTATCGCGTCGCCTCTTGATGATGACCAGTAAGCTGACTGGCTGACTTGCGGTATGGCAGGAGGGAGAAGTCGCTCAAGTGGTGGACGAGGCTGTTCTGGTTGCGTCCGCAGCCGACAGACCAGCTCGACAGCGTCGACTTCGAGGCCGTCACGCTCGCATACGAGGTCGACATCTCCAAGGTCCCGCACGATTTCCTCATCGTCGAGGTCGACACCGTCGTCAAGGACTACTACGAGACCTGGACACACCACTTCTGGAACTGGCTCTGCAGCCACACCCGCCACACGCACACCGAGGCGACGACTGTCGAGAAGCAGGCCGTTCATCTCATGCACTTTGCATTGAACTTCAAGAGTAGGTCTTCAACCTAATATTCGCTGTTTCCGCTTCCGCTACTGACGCACTGGCGTACAGGCGCTCGCTACGTCGAAGAGCTCTCTAACGTCACTGACCTCGGCACCGACGACACCTCGCTCGAGAAGCTCAACACCATCAGGCAGTACATCCCCGAGTACCTCGCCGCCCTCACCCACTACGGCCACAACATCCTCCACACTGTTCCCATCTGCAAGCTCCCGCGCACCGATGAGCCTCTGGACCTGTTCGCGTTCACCGACGTTGACTACCGTGTGCTCACCAAGAAGGAGATCACCATTGACACTTGCCTCAACTTCGAGACCCTTGAGACCGAGATCCCGCTCGTCGTCATCTACGGCGTCACTGGCGGCGCCAAAATGCCGACGTTCAGTGGCAAGTGGGCTGCCGGCTGGCAGGCTGTTGGCCGTGAGTCTGTCGGCACGCTGGGCCTGTCGCGTGAGATCTTCCTGCAGCGGTACATCCTCGACCAGCTTAAGACTGTCAACGCTATGACGACGATCGTCCCCAAGAACGTCGATGTCGTCGACGATGTTTGGCACGTTGATCTCACGACATGGTACCTGCACCCGACGCGGAACCAGTCCAAGGTTGGGTGCCAGTGGAAGCCAGTTAAGGTTGACTCTCTCGATTTTATGGAGTACGAGTGGAAGTACCGCGACGAGTGGAACCACGAGCATGAGGGCCACCACGAGGACACGGCCAACGGCGAATACTACCTTCACTGTACGTGCGCACTCCTAACCCCATGACCATACCTGACATCGCCCACTGTTTGACACAGGCAACACAAAGAACACGCTCATCGTCCCAACTATGTTCGACCCCAAGGGAGTTGAGCTCGATCTCCGCGGAGAGACCATCGTCAAGGTTGGTGGCAAGCACAACGGCCAGAAGTGGAGGTGCGCATACTTGTCTTTTCTCTTATTGTGAAAATTCGCTGATGAACGCCATGCAGCCGTTCTACCATCGGTACCTGGGGCGCCAAGATCAAGCTCGACACCTCCAACGGCCTCAAGATCGTCGTCGACCGCATTCCCATTCAGGTCAAGCCGGCTGCTGAGACCTGCACCGACGAGTGGACGTTCGACCCTAGCACCATCCACCTCCAGAACTTGTCACTCAAGAGCGACGCCCTCGACGCGCTCGTCATCGGACAGCTTCGCTTCCTCCTCGAGTCGTCCTGGGAGTACTGTGTCATGGGCATCCAGTCCATCAAGCTTCGCGCGCCCGTCATCACTCGTGCCGGTGACCTTATCTGCGAGCTCGACCTCGACAAGGGTACGTAGACTGGTTTCGAACTTCGAACCTCATTTGACGGTCCTGCTACAGACATGGTTCGTCCTCCGATGCTGGAAGTTGCGGAGTGGGTTAAGTACAGGACGAGGTGGTACTCCGAGTGGGGTGCGTCTCTCATCTCGCTCTCGTCTCCGATGTCTCACACTGACATACCCCTTCTGCAGTCGAGAACGGCAGGCTGAAGGCGTGGGGCTACGGTCAGGTCCGCGGCGAGTACACGGTCGACAAGGACGGCAAGGTCGACACCACGCCGATAGCCGACCGCGGCGTCCCCAAGCCCAACGGCGCTGCCAACAAGGCGGTCGATCCCGCTCCTGCTCCCGCTAAGGCTGCGGCTCCAGCCCCGGCTCCAGCTAAGGCGGCAGATCCCACTCCCGCTCCAGCGCCAGCTAAGGCAGCAGATCCCACTCCCGCTCCGGCGCCAGCTAAGGCTGCGGCCCCGGCCCCAGCCCCAGCCCCGGCGAAGCCTGCAGATGCCAGCAAGGACTCCGCGACGGCCCCTGCTAACGGCGCCGCTGGAACTAACGGCACCGCCGCTCCTCAGCCTGCTCCTGAACCGGCGAAGGCCACCGCATGAGCAGCACCTTCCGAGGGCGTCTGACTCTGTAGCATGAGCAACCAGACTCGATGGTTTGTTCCTATGTCCGGCCACTGTCTTTCTACCTATGTTGTCTGTTGTACTGCTGTTCTATACGATATGTCTGTGTCTATATGCATAATTTCTCCTCGCACGAGATATATGAACTGATGAGAGTAATTCAGGCTGTACGACCTGACAGCCGTGGTCGCTTTGTCGAGCGCGCCATGGCTGGAAGCTGCTAGCGTTGAAAACGCCAGTGGTGGGATGCTGAAGTTGAATGGTCGCATGAAGGAACAATGCCCTGTGGCGGAGGAAATATAGCGAGCACCCTGGCGTCGGTATAGTAATATATTCGTACAGATTACTCCTGTCTATTCATTTCCATAAATTCGAGTCCTATAGACTAGAACACGTCGCAATGCACTTCGTGGATGACACGACCCGGATGTCTAGGAGACGCATGTGCAAGCAAACGACGCCATAGTAGTGGGCTTCCCTGTGTTGTGATCGAAGGGCGAAGTTGACCGGACTACTGCCTCAGCCTTAAATATCGCATGATGCAACGGCCATCGTAACGAAGACACCCTGCCCGGTGCTCATCCTAGTCTGGATCGCAATCAGCATCGTCAACAACGACAGTCCATCCCAGACGCGCGTACTCCGCAACGGTGATATCATTCTCACCTGTACAATCCCCTGCCACAGAGTCTGACAGCACATGCTGGCCGCCGCTCATCTCGCCAGTTGGCGATCTGCCGCGCGCATGGCCTTCGCCAACGTCGAGCGGGTGTCCGAGCTCCTCGAGCCTCTGGCTGAAGTTCTGGAGCACGAGCGATACCGTCTGTGTCGCGCCCGAGGAGTGGGGTCCGGGCTCCAAATCTCTGGCGCGGCCCGAGCAGACGGACGAGCGGCGCAGGTTCATGATGAATCGGCATATAAGGATGGGCGGCTGCGGATACGTATGTGTCGGTTACCACTCGTGTGTCGAAGCGAGACGTACGACTCACTAGCACGTCCAAGAACGGGCCCGCGAAGGCCGTTGTCTGTATGTGGCGAACGTGTTAGGCGATCGTCTCGAAGCAAGAATGAGGCTTCAGTCACCTGCTGTCCATTGCTGATAACCAATATCTCGGCGATGTTGATGATAATCATGGCTCTAAGTGGCCCGTCAGCGGATCTAGAACAATGGTGTATGAGCAGAAATGGTTACACGAAGTAGGCAATTCCTGCAGGCCATGTTCAGCATTGTTCGCGAGAGGAAAAGTAAGGCATTACCGTTGCGGAGAAGGGTTTGCGTGAGCGAGGCAGAACCCCGAACGTTGGCGAGGGCCTGATCCCGATGGTAGACGTTCTTCCATGTCACTAAGACGGCGATAGACTCTCCCACGATCGCCGGTATTCGACTACATAGTGCGACTAGTACCCAGCTAAGTCAGCGGCCCGCGCCGTAGAATATGCCGTCTGCCTTACATCTGAAAATAGCCTTCCGGCATCAACGACTAACGGCGTTCATGTGCGGAAATACCTACATTAGAACGAGCTTGTCTCCGATGAGTGTCTTCGGTATGCATATCACCGGTTGTGGACCTATGAAGGGCAGGGGTACTCCATGGATAACAATTACGTACTGTGCGTCGAGACCTTAGTCGATTGGATCCTCACAGAAAAAGAACAACGCTTACGGAGTAGACCACGACTGGGCCCGAAATCAGAATCAAGACAGAGAGCGACAAGACGCGATTACGATCCGTTATCGCGAATACTCTCAAGGCGGAGAAGACTAAAAATGAAGAGCATCCAATCAATATCCCTTACGAATCAACATCGACTGTCGCATACTGGCTGTCTCGGCGTACCCCATTAGAGCAGGGATCAGAACCATGTTCGTCCGTAAAACACAGCTGCAACATCGTCTGTAAACTTAATCATCAGGTAACTGGAAATTATAGCCGCACCTCTGTTGTCGACACATTCAGATGAGCACATAGTTTGCGGGAACGACACGGCGAGACGCACCTCGGGGGATGGTTGCGGCAGTACGAGCGCGATAGCTTCGAACAACAGTGTCCAGCGGATTTTGAGAAGCAGACAACTCCCGGGATTTATCTTGCGCTTCCACACGAGGGACATTTCTTGCCCGAATGAGATGGCGTACTCGTAGAAGATGAGCGCTAAAAATACGGAGTCGTCAGGAAATGCTCAGCCTGACCGTCTAGCAACCTACCGGCGACAGCAGCTAGTAGTCGGCGAGCCATGAAGCTTCGTACTGCATGTAAGGCCACGTGCAACTCAGATAACCTAATAGTGGCTTACAAGGACTCTATAGGGTCTGCACTTAGACCAGGGCCCGGAGAATTAATATTCTGCGACATGCTGGGACCTGGAGGTGGAGAAGGGGCAAAAAAAGAAGAAGTATCTTCGACCATAGTGCCTCCTATCTGCGGGGCCTAGGCTTATATCTGCGAAGGCAATAGAGCGAACAGATTTCCAAGGCTCCGAGTTATTTGATTAGCAGTGCTTCCTGAGTCCCCATCGCGGTGGAAGGACTAATCATAAGCCTGTGTCAAATAAACTGAATCGCACGGTCCTATGCAAATGGTTCCTGAGAGATGCTCACCCAAATGACTACGAACTTCCATAGATAATCACACGCAAGCGGATACGATAACCTTCGACATAGGGTCTATTCCAATCAGCCTTACTGCCCTTTACGCGCCGAATGCAGCTGTAATGCACTCAAAGTGCGCCCTTAACGTTTAACCTGGATAGTATTTACACGCTCCCATTCATGAACTTGGTTCCTGTGGGGTCGCGAAAGACGCTTCGTGTTTGGTATGTGATAACCTGTTTAGTCGTCCAATCTCTCCAAAACTGTATATGCGCTGCGCTCGAAGTTCAAGTGTCATAATAACCCTGAGAGCCGTTGCTCAGTATAAGAGATCCCGTGAGGCTGGACGCTGACTCTGACCGCAGTGAAGGTCTTCTGTCTGATCACCACGGCAAAAGATGAGACTCGGATCACTGCTATTACAACTTCACAGCTCCCTATACAAAGTATTCACGTGCCTTTCGTCTCCCGAGCTGCAACGAAGCGAAAGTCAAGAGGCTATGCAGGAGCTGAAAAGATGATATTAGTCTCATGTCAAGCTTCCGCGAGCGCATCAGGCGCAGCACTGATGCGCCTACTAGAGCGCTCGCGCCCTTTTGGCGCTCCGCATATCAGCCACTGTCGTCCGGGACGCCTCGCAGCTGCAGACGCTCCTCTACTTGGAGGATGAGTAGCGTTTTGATGAACCTGAGTTCCAGTGTGATCGCCAACTTGCGGTGGATCTGACGTGCGCTGTTTACTCACCTAACAACCCACTCGAGAAGCTTCAAGTACTGCTTGAGCTAATCTCGTTTTCTGACTCGCTGGCAGGAATTCCTGCTTCTTCCAAGACCAATCCGAACAGTCCAACTTCTTGGCCGTCAGATTGGAGGGCTGGCGTCGTGCCTGGTGAAGAACTCCGATTCGGCGAGCCTCCCGCTAATGATGAGCGCCAGGGCCTCCTCAACGCGGGAAGTATCAGGGCGACCTCCCGTCATTTCCATTTGACCAGCCCGAGTTACGGAAGCGAAGGCGGATTACGCCATGCGGTGGTTCTGGTAAGTAGTCGTCTTTAATTCGTTCCTCGCAGCAAGTTTCAACGTCCGAGGCAAGTCCAATTCTTGAACCTCTCGCTCGGTTGTGAATAACTCCTAAGGATTAACAAGAGAGTCATACGCCATCACATTCTCGTTTACTCGACACGTACAGCGATATACAGCTCTACTCATAGAAATTAATTTATATCTGGCCCTGATCATGTCGTTCGGCAACATACGCCGCAGCCCGCCAGACGACTTTGCCGAGCCTAGCCTCGGCCAAACAAACTGGGCGTGCAACCATTAGCCTATAAGAGAGCTGGCGAACCCAGCCCTCTCCTACAGCTCTCCACATCATGCGTCTCCTTTGGTCTGTTTTGTTCTCTCAGATCCTTGCTGTCGTCACTGCGCAGCGGAGTCCCATATCTCTCGACATCATCTCTGGTGCTCCCTCCCAAGGGCAGAGCAATGTGCAACTCACCTCCAGCACGTTAGGTTTCGATGCACCCAAAACGCTGCCAATAAACGGCTCTAGCTTTGATTGGTGGTACTTCGACGTCGTCTCGGAAGACCTTGACTACAGTCTTGTTTTGGTTTTCTTTGCCGCCACCGCGAACGGGCTGTGGAAGGGTCTTCCGGAGCTGCCAGCTTCGGTGTGGGTGGACGGACAAATTTCCGCGCCAGACGGCCCTGCCCACAACTTCATCGCGGACAGCAACGACCTGATAGTCATGACCATGGCGAACGGCAGCTCCGGAACGCTTAATGGGACGGGCTGGGGCTGGGCTGGGTTGCCTGACATGTCGTACTACGAACTTATCATCGACGATCCGGAAGCAGGAGTCCAAGGCACGGTTACATTCGAATCTGTAAGCAAATATTCTTTATCTTACTTCTCCCGCTGACACCTCCTTTCTCAACTAGACAACTCCTGCGCAATTCCCTTGCGCTTCCATTACGGCACCCGGTGAACAGTCGTTTATACTTGGATCGGCCCCTTTCGGATGGGCAAATGCTCTCCCGGACGCGAACGCCAACGTTGACGTCGTCATTAACGGCACCCGAATCAAATTCTCTGGCGCTGGATACCACGACAAGGTAAGCATTCTTGAGAGAGAGAGCTCCTTTGATTCTTTTCTGATTGTAGGTGAACAGAACTGGGGCCCCAGTGCTGTTGGCACCGTCGTCAAGTCCTGGTACTGGGGCCATGCACGTCTCGGCCCGCTCGTTGTCGTTTGGTTCGACGTCATCTCGCCCGACGGCTCCGAGCACGTCAGCAGCTACGTATCTCGCAACAGCGAGGTACTCACCGCGTCATGCTCGAACATGACCGTTCGCGCGACAGGCGCAAACAGCACCTGGCCGCCTGTCCGCGGCACTGGGGCACCCGGCGGTTTCCACATCAGTGCAAGCGTGGAGGGCGAGGGGCAGTTGGAGATCGACGTGAAACATAAGACCCTTCTGACTGCCGATCCAGACGTCACTATATATCGCTGGACTGGCAGTGTCAGCGGTGGGTTTGGAAATGGTACTACGTGGACAGGCCCTGCTTTGTACGAGATGTTTGCATTCTAGCCGCATCGTCGATGCACTATTTATCGGTTATTATGCCGAGGACATGGACATTTGGGTTCGAGTTATGTCTGACCAGCTTAAATAAAGCATTTATAAAGACGTATGTTGGGCCACGACGCGAAGTGCTCCTGGGACGGCGGGTCGGAGACCTTAACCGCGAGATTCTCGAGCGGTGGCGAGTCAGTGGCGACTCCAGACCTCAGCGTTCAGCAGCGTAGGTATCAGTGAGGTGCCTCCGAGTCATAATCTTTGTGCTGATCTATATCTTGTTATTAAATATGTATGTGTCAGATTTATGCAGATTCAACGCAGAACATCTGGTGTCCTACTATGGCCAAAATTCAAAATCTGCCCCATTGCGCCGGGGCGACTTCCATCCAAGCGCCTATCATTACACGAATAGGGCGCTTATTTGACTTACGCGTCGTGCGTCTGGATTCGTCCGAGTTGCCTCATACCACCACACCGCTCACAGTCGCCGTCATGTCTTCAGTGCAACCACCCAACGAGCCTCCGGAGGAGAACGACAACACCGAGCAGAAGCCTGAAGCTCAGGCTTCGTCGTCAACGACCCCAGCGGCTCCGGACGAGTCCGCGATGGACACAACGCCCGACCAGCCGCCAGAGGAGACCTGGGAGGACATCCCGGAGGACATCAAGTCTTTGTCGACAGATGAGATTACGACGCGGACACGGCTGATTGACAATGACCTCCGAGTGCGTCCACATCGCGTTACGTGGCGGCTTACGCTTTGCTGAGTGCTATCCAGGTCATACGCTCCGAGACACTGCGGCTGCAGCACGAACAGGCGCAGATGAAGGAGAAGATCAGGGACAACGGTGAGAAGATCAAGCAGAACAAGGTCCTGCCTTATCTCGTGTCGAACGTCGTGGAGGTTCGCGTCTCTGCTCCATTACCCCGAGCTGCTTACCAAGTGCACATAATAGATCCTTGACCTTGACCCCGAAGGCGAAGAGGACGGTGCCAACAGGGACGTCGATGCTGCGCGCAAAGGGAAGTCTGCTGTTATCAAGACCTCGACTCGACAGACCGTGTTTCTTCCCATCATTGGTCTCGTCCCTCCCGAACAGCTCAAACCCAATGACCTCATCGGTGTCAACAAGGACTCCTATCTGGTCCTCGACACATTACCTTCGGAGTACGACTCTCGTGTCAAGGCAATGGAGGTTGATGAGAGACCTACGGAGACGTATACCGATGTCGGTGGTCTGGAGAAGCAGATCGAAGAGCTTGTGGAGGCGATCGTCTTGCCAATGGAGCAGGCGGATAAGTTCAAGACCCTTGGTATCACGCCACCGAAGGGTTGCCTGATGTATGGTCCCCCAGGTAAGTGCCAATAAGCGGGGTGCGAGATGGCCTTGACTCCTGACTCGCTGACAGGTACCGGAAAGACACTCATGGCTCGTGCCTGTGCTGCGCAAACCAAGGCGTGCTACCTCAAGCTTGCTGGCCCATCACTGGTGCAGATGTACATTGGTGACGGTGCCAAGCTCGTTCGTGACGCGTTCGCTCTGGCGAAGGAGAAGGCTCCGGCCATCATCTTCATCGACGAGTTGGATGCCATCGGTACCAAGCGTTTCGACTCCGAGAAGAGTGGAGACCGAGAGGTACAGCGGACCATGTTGGAGTTGCTCAACCAGCTTGACGGTTTCGGTAGTGATGAGCGCATTAAGGTATGTGTTCCCATCCCTGAGAGCGTGAGAAGCTTATTCACAGAAAGAGCACAGGTCATTGCAGCAACAAACCGTATCGATATTCTGGATCCCGCTCTGCTCCGTTCCGGTCGTCTTGACAGGAAGATCGAGTTCCCGCTTCCGAATGAGACCTCCCGCGCTCGGATTCTCGAGATCCACTCGCGGAAGATGGCTGTTTCACCGGACGTCAATTTTGAAGAGCTGGCGCGGAGTACCGACGAGTTCAACGGCGCGCAACTCAAGGCTGTATGCGTTGAGGCGGGTATGATTGCCCTGCGAGAGGGCGCTACCAAGCTCAACCACGAACACTTCCTAAGCGGTATCGCTGAGGGTACGTGCCTCTATCTAATAATGCTGAGAACGTGCACTGATGAGCCGTGCTATATCAGTGCAAAGTAAGAAGAAGAACGACCTCATGTATTTCGCGTAGATTATCACTGCATGGTACGGCTTTGTATTATTGTCACCTTACTGCATCTTCTTTCCGTTTTCATCTTATCTGTGATTTCCGAACGCCTCAGTGCGGTCATTACTTGCCCCTAATACGCCACTTAGGCTTAGAAGGATGCAACAGAAGCCTTCTTAAGCTTGAACGGCGTGTTCTCTGTTCAGTCCGTAAGGGTTGAAGACGCCGTGGTGTGAGACGCGACTCCGGTCCGATCACCCAAATTGTCCGAGAAGTGCGTTATACCGCCCTTCTAGCGTTTTTGTATAGCCTGCACGAATATGAGGTGTACACAGGCTGATGGCGTTAACCGTAGCCCTGCTGCTCCGTTATAATTTCGGGCTGTCGGCATAGGCCACTGCGGAGAGGCAAGTTCGATCTGCCTGGGCTGCTCGGAATGGTCCGGCTTCGGCCCCCGGCTGACGAAGCCTGCTCCTTGTGCCGCGCATAAGGCCTACAATACCCGTCCTCCCACCCATTTGCGGAGCGGGGGGATGGGGTATATAATACGGGCAGCGCGACGGGCTCTGGATCCTCACTACCCTCAATCGCGGCTTTCCGAACTTCTAATTTTTGATTATCATGTTCCCCTTGGTGGTATCCCTCCTGTCGCTGTTGTTCCTGGCCGCATCGTCCTTATCGGCACCGACGACGCAGTACGGGACAATCACCGCGCCTGCGTCCGGCACCGCTGTAATGCCGGGCGCAAATTTCACGTTCAGCTACTTCCCGCACGCGGACTACGGCATCTCGAGCTTTGCGTACCAGGTCTGGCTTCTCGCTGTGCCCGCCGCTGCCGGCGGCGTGGAGCAGCTTTCGTTCTCGACGCCCGGTGTCTCAGGCTACTATTTCGGCAGGTTCGACTACCCGAACTACCCTGGTGCGTTTCCTCCCCTCTACTGCTGATCTGTGAGAAAAGGACCAAGTGCTGACCACCGACGTGCCACTCTGCAGCCGTGCCGTACGCGCAGAACCCTGCGCCGCCGCAGCTCACGATGCCCGACTTCTCGAAGATGCCCGCGGGCTGGGCCGCGGGCGAAACCGCGAGCAACCTGTCGATGCAGCTCACCGTCGTCGAGGAGTGGGGCGACAGCACGGTATGTTTGTGCTCGTGTTCTGCTCGGTCGGGCGAACGCTGATGCTATCTTTCTCAGCCTACCGTCGGACGCCAATTGAGCGTGGCGTCGGCGATAATCATGTATAACGCGACGTCGACCGCGTAAAAATGTCTCAAGTTTCTACATCGGACTACGTTAGACAGTGGACTATTATACAGACTACGGACGGCTTGGACGCTTGCTATATTCTTTGTACACATACTCTCGGACGTCTCGGCTTCACCTACAGTATCCCGGATTCTTCTTCTTCTTAATTCGCATACACGTGTTGTAGGACTAGAACCTCCCAGATTCCGCTCGACTAAGCCACCGTCCGGGCCCCGCGTCAGTCGAGCCCGGCCTTTGCGGATGTGGGTTTGGCCGCCCATGCTTGGCGGGGGCTGTTTTTACGAGGCCGTGGATGATGCCCTTAAACTGCGCGGGCGTACTACGCGCGGAGGCTCCTGGGTTGCCAACACATGTGGATCCCTCCGGCTGTATGTCAGCTAACACGACTCAGACTAGATCTGGCACGGGATGTGCTGACACAGAGGCGGTGAGTATCAGGTGTGGCAGTTACGACTGCGTGCCATCGGATCGTCCCGGCAGCGCCACAATGGTAGCGCTTCTTTGCTCTGAAGCGATTTCAATCCCTGTTTCTTATTTTACAGATGCTACGTCGCTGTTTGCATATGAGCACAAGTTGCCTGCCATGCATGACAACAGCACTGGCTGTGACGTGAGTCTATCACTTGATCCACAGCAGCTCACGATGCTTTGTCATGGTGTGTCTCTGTGCGTTGCTTAAATCGGTTGTGATGAGATGAGATCTCGAAACGAACAAAGGCTTACAACGCTGGGGCTGTCAACTTTCTAGTCTCGCAAACTAGCACTGCACCAGCACAACCAGTCCAGTGGAGTGGCGAGTTCGACCTGCGATACCGGTCACCGCAAACAGTGGCAGCATCCCAGATGCGACCGTACCGCGGCTTACAGAGCGGCGACAAAGATAGTAAGGACAACGCCGCTGTGAAAGGTGTTTCTTCTCGCGCGTTTTTCAACTCAGGGTCGAGTCTGTGATTATAACCATACCGTTTTGACAGACTTTCAAACCGCACACATAACCGCACACCAAAGTATTATAACTGTAGCAGATGAGCACTTATAATACTCTCGGGATGCTTACGGAGGTTATGAGTATTACCCACGCTGATCAGCACTCATAGCTCGGGTCGGATTTTCCTGATGATATAGAGGCGTGTATTACGAGAAGTATGCGAGGAAAACTTCTGAAATATGCACATGGACACAAACATACTATAATACAACAACACAATTTAATGGTACAACAAAGGCAGGGAAAACGACGATCGGAAAAACAGTAACAGAATGTCAATGCATCAAGTCCGATAGTTCATGCTACACAGACCGGGAGTCAGACAAACCGGGAAACAGACACTCTCAGAAGGAGCACTTCATGCGGCGGCTTTGGCGGGTTGAGGAGCGGGAGTGGTGGCGGGGGCGGGGCCCTTCGTGGAGTCCTTGCCGGCATCTGCGGGCTTTGCCGGGGTGGGGGCGGGAGCCTTGGCTGGAGCCGGAGCGGGCTCGACCGCCTTGGTTGGGGCTGGAGCCGGAGCCGGGGCAGGTTCGACCGCCTTGGTGGCAGCGCCGTTGGCCTTGCGGTCCTCTACCGGCGTATGGTCGACCTTGCCGTCCTTGTCGACCGTGTACTCGCCACGGATCTGACCGTATTCCCACGCCACCAGCTTGCCGTTCTTGACTGCAGAGGGATTATATCAGCATGAATTACCGGAGAGGAGAGTGGGATGAAGGGCGCACCCCACTCGGCGTACCACCTGGTTCTGTACTTGAACCATTCCTTGACGTCCAGCATCGGAAGACGGATCATGTCTGTGTCAAAACGCGTCAGATGTAATTCCACACCAAGGTCCGAAACTAGCCCACGTACCTTGGTTGAGGTCGAGCTCGCAGATGAAATCGCCCTTTTGCGTGATGATGGGGGTGGCAAGTTTAATGGATTGGATACCCATCACACAGTACTCCCAGGACGCCTCGAGGAGGAGGCGAAGCTGTCCGGCGATAACCGCGTCAAGCGCGTCGTCCTCGAGCTTCAGGTTCTGGCGGTGCACTATGATCGGGTCAAACGTCCACTCGTCGGTACAGGTCTCTACGGTCGGCTTGACCTGGACGGGAATGGGGACAACGACGATCTTGAGGCCGTTGGAGGTATCGAGCTTGATCTTGGCGCCCCAGGTGCCGACTGTGGACCGGCTGCATAGCATTCGTCAGCACGCTTTCACAGCAAGAGAAAAGATACCTATGCGCACCTCCACTTCTGGCCATTGTGCTTGCCACCGACCTTGATGATGGACTCGCCATGGAGATCCAGCTCGATGCCATTGGGATCGAACTTAGTCGGGACGATGAGCGTGTTCTTTGTGCTGCCTGCATCAACGGTGAGCGTCCGTCCCCATCCTCAGCTGCCAGTGCGGTGTACTTACAGTGGAGGTAGTATTTGCCGTTGGCAATGTCGTCGTCGTCATGGCCTTCACGCCCGCGGTTCCATTCGTCGCGGAACTCCCACTCGTACTTCATGTGGTCGAGCGACTCGGCCTTGACCGGCTTCCACTGGCATCCGACCTTGGACTGGTTCCAAATCGGGTGCAGGTACCACCTCGTGAGGTCGACGTACCACACATCGTCAACGACATGGACGCTGCTCGGGACGATCGTCGTCATGGCGTTGACAGTCTTGAGCTGGTCGAGGATGTACCGCTGCAGGAAAATCTCGCGCGAGAGCCCGAGTGTGCCGACAGCCTTGGGACCGACAGCCTGCCAGCCGGCAGCCCACTTGCCACTGAAAGTCGGCATCTTGGCGCCGCCGGTGACGCCGTAGATGACGACGAGCGGGATCTCGGTCTCGAGGGTCTCGAAGTTGAGGCAAGTGTCGATGGTTATCTCCTTCTTGGTGAGGACGCGGTGGCCGACCTCGGTGAACGCGAACAGATCCACGGGCCCGTCGACGCGCGGGAACTCGCAGATGGGGACGGTGTGGAGAATGTTGTGGCCGTAGTGGGTGAGGGCGGCGAGGTACTCGGGGATGTACTGCCTAAGGGTATTGAGCTTCTCGGGAGAGGTCTCGTCAGTGCCAAGGTCGATAACGTTAGAGAGCTCTTCGACGTAGCGAGCGCCTGTATGCCAGCGCGTCAGCAGTGGAAGCGGAAGACCATAACGAAGACATACTCTTGAAGTTTAGGACAAAGTGCATAAGATGGACATCTTCCACTCTAATCGTCCGATTCACATCTCGTCTGTGCTTTGCGTCGTTAATCGTGGTTTCGGTCGTCTCCGTCGTCGTCTCAGTGGTGGTGGTGGTACCCGTGGGGGTGGTGGTGGTGGTGGTGCACTCGCGGCGAACTGTCTCTATAAATTTTCTAGTCCAGGTCTCGTAGTAGTCTTTGACGTCGGTGTCGACCTCGATGATGAGGAATTTGTGCGGGATCTTCGAGATATCAACCTCGTATGCGAGCGTGACGGCGTCGAAGTTGACTTTCTCGAGCTCTTCCGTCGGCTGGGGCCGCATCCAGAACAGCCTCGTCCACCACTTGAGCGACTTCTCCCTCCTGCCATACCGCAAGTCAGCCAGTCAGCTTACTGGTCATCATCAAGAGGCGACGCGATACTCACTTGCGGACCGAAATCATGCCGTTCGCCTGGATGTAGATGATCGCCTTGCCGCTCGTCAATAGCCGGACCTTCAGGTCTAGAATTTTGATCGAGAACAGCTCGTCAATCTGCCACTCATGCACCGTCTCCAATCGGCTCCGCAGGACCCGGTTAATGGTTTCCTCCGAGAGTGCAACGACCTCGTGGCAGCCGGGGGAGATCGTCGTGTTCTGGATCCGCTCAGACCACATCATAGCGTGCGTGTGCTTCCTCGCGAAGCGGTCGCCCTCGTTCTCGTCCGTCTCCGTCCACTCGGCCTCGTACTCCTTGCCGAAGTTGTCCGGCGCGAGGGGCAGGCCGAGGATGATGTGGAGGCTGAAGCGGGCGAGGATATCGATGTAGTCGTGGGAGAAGAACTTGATCATGAGGTCGATGTAGTGCTTGGTCTGCTCGTCGGGCTCGCCATGGCCGAAGAACGAGTCGAAGCGGGAGAAACGTGCAGCTACGGCCCATGGTGTCATCGCCCTGAAATGCACCACGAACGAAACGAAGACATACTGTCGAGGTCCAAGGTCACCACGCCGAGGCCTTCGGCCTTGACGCACTTGACGATGAAGGCGAACTGCCACTGCTGGTCAGAGAGGTCCACCGTCGGGCTCACACTAGATCATTGGTCAGAACAGCCAAAGCAGATATTTACGCGGAACTCACTTCTCGTCGATGCCCCTCTTCTCGAAGAAGCCGAGCTCCTTGATGTTGAACTTGATGATGACCTCCTGGTTGCACAGAGGCTCGACCGTCGGAGAGTGGAAGTTGATGAAGAAGTGGGTGTTCTCCAGCGTGCATCCGTTGATCCAGTCGCTGCAGATCGTCGCCAGACACAGGTCTAGCTTGCCCCACGCCGGGCCGTTGCGCTTGCCAGACGCGTTCTGCCAGTGCATCTGGTAGAACTGCGCGATGAGCGCGGGGTCGACGTGATCGAGAATCTTGATGTCCTTGGAGATCAGCTGGCGCAGTTCGTCCGTGCCCTCGGTCCGGATGACCGAGTAGTCGATGCGCGGGCGGTGCTTGTTGTCGTCAAAGTCGGGCAGGTCGAACATGACGTGGTTGCCCGACGTCTGGAGGAAGCGTAGGTAGTGCTTCAGGTAGACCTGGAAGGCACTCTTGGCTTCGTCGTTGAGCTCGTCGTCGCCAGCCGTGAACTTGACGAGCTTCTCCTCTACAAGACGTTGAGCATGTGTCACAAACGTACACGAGGGCTGGCTGCACTACTCACGATCGAGAGCGAGGATCATCATCTGGACGAGGTGCCTGACGCCCAGGTTGCCGACCTTTTCGTCGCGTCCGCTGACGTTACTGCGCAGAATGGGAAGCGCGAACACGACCTCGACGGCCTTCAAGGGAACGTTCTTCGAGCTGCGGAGATAGCATTAGCAGACGTCTGCCGGGACATGCTCGGTGGACATACTGATCTGCGCGTGCACCCGGCTTCGCCGAGTCCTTGTAAGCCAGGTTGAGGTGACCGGACTCGACGATGAGGCGAAGGAAGGTGGTGTGGTTGCAGAGGAACTTGAGCTCCGGCATGGCGAACTTGGCCGAGAAGAACAGGTCGTCCTCGCGCAGACCGGTGGCGGGACGCTTGGTGAGGAAGTGGAACTCGCGGAGGGCGCGGATGTACCGGGTGCCCTCGTACTCGGCCGACTTGTAGTCAGAGGGGGAGGCATTCGCGGCGCACTCGTCCGCGTTGCGCCAGAGAGCTTCGAGCTGGGCGGTGACGTAGCGGATGGAGAGCGGACCGCTGTTGCGGTTGTAGTCCATGACAAAGTTGAGGATGGGTAGGCAGTGGTGCAAGTGTACGGCGGGCTCGAGGAGAAGAGCTGCTGAAAGTGAGGAAGACACGCGAGCTTTTATACCCGAATCGTAGGGCGCATACAGTGTCTGCGATGTGCTGGGCCGGACCGTGGTATGGATGGTCTCCGTTGAGCGCCGCCGACAGAGCGTTGTCTGTGTTCGAAGACGGACGGCTTCTATTCCGCGCTGTCTGTCAATTTACCGTCGTCGCGTGTCGCTTACTTATGTTTATGGACATGTTTGGTGACATCGCCCGGTGAAATGATATCTCCGCGAGCTTGTGTCTGCGACATCTGAGGAGACGGAGCCTGGGAGGCCGATCATCGGCCGATCATCAGCCCTCTGGACAGCTAATTGTGTCGGCGGCCCATGCACCGATGACGCGTCCTTCTATCGTGGATGAGTATTTGTGCTCCTTGACAGCGACTGCTCTAATGTCAGGGCGGGTCTCTGGTAATTCCGATGGCCACACAACCCCAGAAAAAAAGACCCCACGCCACCACAGGAGCATCGTCAACAGCCAGGCAGCCCCAAGGATGAGAGACTCACGTACAGCGGTCAGCGGAGAACACCCTCGTGGCGAGTACGTGTCTCGGTGTTTTGCAGGCATCCTGGCCAACCTACGTTGCGGAGGCGCGCATACAGGCAACCTCAGGCCGCGACACTCAAAGTCTGAATGCTCCCCGTGAGTGGCATACGTGACAGGATTCCACACCGCAAGCCGACGCGTCGATAGGGGCATCACGCGCGGGTGCTGTCAAAGGTCTAAAAAACTAAATCAGTCCACGCGTCACGCAAATTGAAACTCCGACATAAGACAGATAAGTCTTGTAAGCCTCCGCGCTTGAACAAAGGCTTATCGCCATCAGCGGTGTCAGTCAAGTACAAACTAATCGTCTGGGATACGATCGTCGGTCTGGATTTGATTGCTTCTCTCCGGGTCCCGTCGCAGCGTCGAAGAGCTACGGCTGCTTTCCAGACCGAGTGCTTACTAGCACCCCTAGAGATACGGCAAGTCGGCTGCGTTGGCCTATGTCTGAGCCGAATCTCTGATGCAGGGCAGCACTTACGCTCAAAGCAGCTGCGAGCACCCATGCATGCTCCGCATGGACATATGGTGTTGCCGTGCAATATTAATGACGACGACGAATTTGAACCATGTGATTGCCGTGGCTTTCTGGGTACGGCATCCCGAAAGCCTTGCGCAACGACGCAGAGAAAGTTCTACAACACGTCGTGTCATGCAAGCGCTAGCTCAGCGTGTGGTCACAGTTGTCATCGCACCTCGCCACACCCCGCCACCGACAAACCGAGTGCTGCTACGCCCGGCCGCCTCATGTGGAAGTGAGTACACCTCCTGACACGGGTGCGTTCTCCGGCGTCATCGGCACTCATTTCTCCAACACTTTCTCTGCGCCGGCGGGCCTTCGACCGCCCGCCTCGCGCTTTGTGTAGGGCTCCCCGCTACTGGACATTTCCACAGCCCTGCAAGGCGCCTAGCGCGGCGGCGTCCTCTCGCTCTCGAGCTTCGCCATCTCAAATCTCGGAGCGTGGGATGTGCACTTCGCTGAGCACGGGCAGTAGCGATGATCGTTCCGTTACCCTCAACGGCTTATTACTATATTCAATTCAATTGCGGCTGTTCTCAGCCTGACATGGGGTGCTGACATCTGTCTCAAACATGCCCAGGATTTAATTTATTCCCTGGACGCCGATTTTACGTTATGCCGGCATACGATACCTACCGTCTCTTGCTTATGGCTGTCCCCGTGCAGATTTTGTGCCGACGTACCTCGGAGACATGCAAGAGTGCGTCTCCCATCCGCTCCGGCGTCTTGGCACCCTCCATGGATGGTACGATTGTCATCGTCATCGGTGTGGCTATCGCCGTCAGCGCGGTTTGTCGCGTCCAACCCTGGGTCGGCAGAATCTCGTTCACGGTCGCGGTCGGGCTGGCGCCAACGATCCACACCGAGACGTCCACGGCACACATCGCTGGGCATTGTGGCAGGCGTCATCTGCTCGGCGACCTATTTCACAGTACTTGTGCCTCTGTCCGTGTCCGAGAACGCACATGCGCTTGCGCCTTTTGCGTTCTTCCTGTCCTTTACCGGAATGTGTCACGCTCTTTCTGCATAGGGAGCGTATCACCAGATACGTCCAGGTCTGGAGTGTCGCTATCGGCACCGCTGTACTCTGGACCCAGCTCAGTAACACATTAATTGAGAACTTTCACGGCCGCGCTGCCATCGCAAGCTCTGAAATCCCGCCCTGCTTCACACTGGTCGCAGCCGCCTTCACTGACAGCTTCAGTGCCGCCTGGTGAGTGATGGACCGTCCTGATTTCCTATATATTTGTAAATGGTCATCCGATGCATATCGAAGTGACGAGATCTGGGGCATCGAAGACAAACAGAGAGGCGAGACGACGGTGAACTCCGGCCCTCCGCACCCGGTAATCCAGGTAACGTTTTGTCGCGGGGCACTAGAGAGTCGCTCCATGAGCAACTACGCACCTCTCTGCGTATATACTGCGATGAATGCGTACGTCTGATAGTTGTTATAATATATGACGACGCAGCACTCGAAGGCCGCGAGGCCGCTGAGCATCAAATTCCGAAATGTCACATCGAGATCACCACGAGCTGTCGATCAAAGCGCCACAAAGTCCCGGAAGTAAAGACGGATTTTATTTCTCCGCGAGGAACCGCACCGCAAGCGGCGGGCTCAAGAGTGCCGCGGCGGAGATGTAACGTCAGAGAGTATATTCGCAAATTTACCGACCGACACTGGGGCAAAAGGCCGCAAAAACGCGCGCGAATCACTGTTGTAGCAGCCATGAAAAGTAAAAGTACACCCAGAACTATGTTCGAAATTTTCCAAGGCGCGTGATGCAAAATCTACAAGAGGCTCTTCTGCTTTCAGCTGGCTTCCGTGATGCGACGCGTCACCCTATCGCGAAGGAGTATCCGCGCCATTGTGCCATGGAGAACGCTCCTTGACAGCGACTGTTCTTATGTCAGGACAGGTCTCTGTTAAATCCGATGGCCACACTACAGTACCCCAGATGAAGGACGCTACACCACCCCAAGAACAGCTCAGTAGCTAGGCAGTCCCAGAATGCGAGACTCGCGTACAGCGGTCGGCGGAGAGCACCCTCGTAGCGAGTGCGACGTATCTCGGTGTTTTGCAAGCGTCCTGGCCAAGCTATGTCGCGAAGACACGCATATATGCAGGCGACCTCGCTCGTCCGCGTCGTTTCAGGCCCCAGAACTCAAGGTCTGCGAGCTCCCCGCGGGTGGCATACGTGACAGGATTCCATACCGCGAGCCAACGCGTCAATAGGGGCATCGCGTACGCGCCGTGCGGCCAAGCACGCGTGGGAAAACTACATTCGTCCACGCGTCAAGTAAATTAAAACTCCGATATAAGACAGATAAGCATTGTAAGACTCCGCACTCGAAGCAAACACTTATCGCCATCGGCTATGTCACTCAAACTCAAACTAATCGTCTGCAGGTGGGCGGGGTACGATCGTCGGTCTAGATTTAATTGCGTCTCTCCGGCTCTCGTCGCAGCGTCGAAGAGCTCCAGCTACTTTCCAGACTGAGTCCTAGAGATACGACAACTTGAAGTCGGCTGCATTGGTCGATGTCTGAGCCGAATCTCTGATGCAGGGCAGCACTTACGCTCAAAGCAGGTCTAACGCCCACTCTCCGCCTCCAGGCCTTCCACCGCGGCCGCGCGGTGTGCGTGCGCCCTTCTAGCGCTGTGTTCGGTCCCCCGCTCACGGATGCTGTTTCAGATCGGTGCAGGGCGCCGTCTTCTCACCACCGTGACCGTCTCGGATCTCATCTCGCTCAGGAAGTGTACGATATATGGTACGCTGATTAGAGTGTATATTAGCTGTGCTCGCGCCTCCGCTGTAGTGCTGACTGGGCGTTTCTACAGGATATACGCCCTTGCCAGTGCTCCGAAACCGCTTGTTGGCGGTAGGATTGCGGAGCACGGGCAGTGGCGATGGGTTTTTTTTGCGAGCCACCTTCGTGTTGTTACCTCTATCACGCAGTCTGAATTTCGACCTCAACCCGCCCGCATTGGGGTATGCAACACTCTTTGTCATCGTCTCCCTCGATCTTTGCACCCCGAAGGCTCTAGGATCGAGAAATTAGGCCTGGTGGACTTGACGTGCGCGCTTCTCACGCTAGAGCCGTCAGGTGAGACTGACCGTTGCTCACGGTGGCAGTGTTCTCTTTATCTCCAGTCCAAGCGCAGCTGCTCTCAGGCTGATATAAGGTAGAATTGGCCGCTCTTGCAGAGGTCTTCGTCTCGCTGGCGATCGTTCTGATCTGCGCAACTATCTCTGTCTTTCGTGAGGCGAAGGTTGCGAGAACCTGATTGCCCCTCTCGTCTTGCTGTCCAATCGGACATCGGTGAGCGGGTACGCTCACTGAGGTCACTGTACGACCCGAGGTGCTGGCGTCTGTCTCAAACATTTCCACGCTTTCATCTGTCCGTTATCGTCCTGGCCGCCGCTTGTACATAGCATTGACGATCAGACACATCCAGGTCACCATCGGCACCGCTGTCCTCCGAACACAGCTCAATAAATATCCGCCTGCGCAACATCGAAAGCTCCCCCCGGCGAGGTTCCCATCGCATGCTCTGCCATCCCCGTAACCCCCACCTTACCCTGCCCGAGCTGCTTCACACTCAAGTCGCGTTCGCCTTCAATGGCAGCCTCATTGTCGCCCGGCAAGTGATTGTCGGCGTCGCGCGGCCAGGGTCTGCCTGATCTTCTCTATATCTATGGTATTCAGGAGAAGCAGGGCAGCGAGAGAACGACGAGCGCCGAACTCTCTTCGCCCAATGATTCGGGTAGCGTTTCGTCATAGTAAGAGTCACTCTATGAACGGCTTCGCGCCTTATCTGCTTGCAGACAGCGACTCGTAAGAGGGCGAATGTTTATGTTTAACAGCTGTTATAATAGCTAAAAACGCAGAACTTGAAGGCGGCTAGGCCGCTGTGAGAATTGTAAGTTCCGGAATGTCATCCAAAAGATCGAGATCGCCGGGCGCTGTCGATCAAAGCGCCACAACGTCCCGAAGGTGAAGATGGAATTTATTTCCCCGCGAAGACCCGCACCACAAGCGGCGGGCTCAAGAGTGCCGCGGCGGAGGTGTAACATCGGAAAGTACGTTCATAAATTCACCAGCTCTGAAGCAGAAGGCCGCATAAACACACGCGAAGCACGGTGAGCCCGGCGGTTATGGTAGCTGTGAAAAGGAAAACATCAGGAAAAAGACTTAGCTCCATAGTGCTACAGAATGCTACAGGAGCATTTTGGACCACTATGGAGTCAAGTCATGTTTCCTGATTTGAAGTACACCCAGGATTTCTTCAAAAATTTCAAGGCACGATGAGCTGCGAAATCTGCAAGAAGCCCTGCTGCTTTCAGCGATGGTCGAGGCGCACCGTTTTAGGGCACACAGCCCACAATCGGGCATAATTCTGGGGCAAGGTTTAGAATCTTGGGGGATATGCCGGGGTCCTGATTGTACTGCGACGAGCTGCGCGGCGCTCAGTGTGGCGCGCGCGTACGTAGGTTCGCTTCCGCTGTCTATTAATTTCCGGGAGAGGCGACACAGTCGTCCCTACATCATTGCCGGCGACTTGCTGGAAATAATAGCAAGAGTCGCAGCAGGCCCAGGCTCAAATCCACTCTTATTTTCTCTGGCAATGCCGGATATGATGTTATATGCGCTATCAGTACGGCCTTTCTCAGACTTTAATTATTACGAGAGAGGCCCTTGGCCTTAATATGCGGCCGCCGCCCAAGCTTAGACATCTTTGTTGACGCCAGCGATGAGTGGAGTAGTTCCTAAGCCGAGACCCGCGGCAGTGTGCGGTCATCCGATAGTCTAGCGGGTGTTCAAGTCTCGAGCCGGGCTGGCGTCATCGGACATCATGAGTGTGGCAGTCTGTCCACATTCGTTGGCGCACGGTAATTACTGGTGGGTATCTACAATTACGTGTGTGAGGCTGGGCTCTGAGGGTTGGCTGACAGGGTCGTCGTGGGCCGCCCGAGCGGGAGAACGACACGGAGATTGCACAGGATTGCATGCTAGCGCTGGTGTTTAATTCAAACGGTTCTTTATCAGTGATTTCCGGAAAGTAACCAGCCCCAAATTCGAATTACCAGCGGCTGGTTCATTTCAAGTAGCCGAAAAGAAGCAGGTTTTGTTATAATGAATACAAGGCCTTTGTGGCGCGCTGGTAGCACGATTTGGGCTATTATAGAGCTCTCAGACATGATGATAGGACACTGTAACGAACAACATAAGCCTGAACATATATTGACGAGGATGATTTCAAGTGTAGGAAACAAACGGCATAAGTGGTCAGAGTCGCAGAGAGGGGTGCACTTGCCGCCACACCGTAATACGACAGTGCTTTGGCGCGGCTACACATGTGCGGAAATACCAATCTCACTCCATGCGGTGTGTCTGCAAAAAGTTCTTGACTAGAGGGAAGTCAGCTATGGATATATTCGTCATTGAAGAATACTCCTGGTCGGAGTACTTGGCAATGACGAGATTTCCCTTCCATGCGCAGTCTTCCTGGAAAAACGCAGCACCCTGCAGTTCCTGACAGTACTTGTTCACTGGAAATGGCAGACCGTCGCGCGATATGGCGCCATAGAACATGATATACGGTTTGGCAAGTTTCTGGGTCATACCGTCGAGTATATCAATGACCTGACAGACCGAACATAAGCAAGTGGCATACGCGCAGAGTGTAGAAATAAAAGCAGGTCTACCTTATAGGCCCAAGGCTGTAGACCACTGCCGACTGCAATGTAGTCCATGAGAACCTCGGGATGCGGTATCTTGCCGCAGCGGAATGGCTTCGCGGCGGTCGGTACACCGGAAGTGTCAACTGGGCTTGTGGTGAGTGTAACAAGATGAGGCAGACGGTCGTCATGTGGGAAGAGGAGGGCTTGATATGAGACTACGTCGTCCATATCTGATTACGAATACGTGGTCAGTCTTAGGGCGGGTTGATGGCGAGACCGACCTACCAATGAAAGATCCAAGAAAGAGCTGAAGGCGATGTTCGGCTTCACTTGAGGGGTTCACCAGCTGTCGAGGTCTCCTTTAAATACCGGACTGGCCACCTAAGGCGCCCCATTAGGCGAGCTCCGAGGGGAGATGAAGGCCAGCTCTCTCGTCATAAAAAAGCAGGGGCCCTTGCTGGCTCATTCGGTTTGACGGCAAAACCGACTTCAATATCAGTCCGCATGCGTTGAAGGCAGGAAAGAGTCGGACATTGGGCCAGGAATCCGGGCGGTTAAGCGGACATGGGTCAGCGCAGCAGACACGCAGCACTTTCGCTTTTTTTCATGGAAACGGTCGTCTATATGTACCGACCTTCTCAACGAGGTATTCTTGTCTTTTCTCTGTTATATGTGTGGTCCGCTGAGGTCGATAGTAAGTATGAGTTCAAGGTGCCCTCGGCTGCTGTCGGTCGAAGCAATGCGGCATTTGGTCAACTCACCTAACGTTCAATAATTGCAACGTGTCAGTGACGTAAAGCTGTAAACAGTATGCCGCTCACGCTTCTAAGGTATACCCAGCCTATGCCGAAGGGGACGTCCTAACACACAATCCTGCACATAATCATGAATAGAGGGGCGGTTCACTCTCTCAGAGTCTTCATTTAATCATTTAGTGCCGATATTCGGCAAGAAATGGCGCGTGACGCATCGTCGGAGGCCGTCTCTAAGTGAGATTGTCGCATGGTCTATGTCCGTTCTTATCCGATACCGGCGTGGAGCAAATTGTCGGATAAGAACAGCCGTTGATCTCTGCAGTGGGGCCAAAATCGGGTACAAATTCTCAGGTATTTCGGCAAAAAATGAGCACTCACCGCTCGGGGGCCTTCCATACGAAGAGTATACATGAAAGACTGACCAGTTCTATGTGCGCTTACCGCTCATTCTATTTAATCTTGTGCCTTAAGCTTCTTCCACAGATAGAAGTTTGAATAAACGAATTTTTACCTGAGAGTCTCACGTCTAGGAGCTTAAGGCTAATTATGCTCGTGAACGATTCACTCCAATCTTGGTACTCATTAAGGCCTGGCCTGGCGAATATTGGGCGGGTGTCGGGCATTCGGCTATACCCACGGTCTGTTGATATGTATATATTCTATACATCTTGGGCACTCGCTACGTACCATTAAACATATAACTTCACAGCGCGTCGGCGACGAATCCACTGATTTGCGATTATGTAATGTCAAAATACGGACTTAACGACAGAAAACCTCCTAGCGCCGTAAAAATCACGCTGGATATTTCCTTCTCCATCCTCAACGCGTTACCAAAAAGTTTCTGCCATCGGTTTAAGACCACAGTATGGTTTCGCATGTTCTCTTCGAGTCCGCCTCTGGCTATGCTATCTTCGAGGTCAAACTGCAAGATGCTCTCGGCTCGTCAACGAAGGCTCTTCAAGACTCGATTGACGACCTGGCGAGATTTGGGAAGATGGTGAACCTTCTCAGTTTTGCTCCGTACAAGAGCGCGGCACATGCTTTGGAGAATGCAAATGATATCTCTGAGGGTGAGTAGTCCATAGCTGGTACCGGACCTCTGCTTTGAACTGCCCAATCCAGGCATTCTCAACGAGCATCTGCAGTCGCTGCTTGAGCTCAATCTTTCCAAGCCAAATAAGAAATCCAAAGTTGTCCTCGGTGTCTGGGAACCAACTCTTGCGTCCTCTATTAAGAGCACCCTTAGCTTTGACTGCAACACAGATGAAGTGACCAAAGACCTCATTCGTGGCATTCGGCTGCATGCCCCCAAGCTCCTCAAGGGCCTCCAAGCAGACGACCTTATTAAGGCTCAGCTTGGTCTGGGTCACTCCTACTCTCGCGCAAAAGTCAAATTCAACGTGAACCGTATCGATAACATGATCATCCAGGCCATTGCCCTACTAGACCAGCTGGACAAGGATGTCAACCTCTTCTCGATGCGCATTCGCGAGTGGTACGGCTACCACTTCCCCGAACTTGTTAAGCTCGTCCCGGACAACTTCCAATACGCATGCACGGCACAGTTTATTGGGGCGAAAGAGAAACTTAACGAGGAGAAGCTGCACGACCTCTCTGCCATCCTTGACGACGATATGACCCGCGCTCAGAATGTCCTTGACGCCGCGAGGAACTCTATGGGCTCAGCTCTGGCCGACATCGACATGCTCAACGTCATGGCCTTTGCGACTCGCGTGATCTCGCTCGCAGAGTACCGCAAGTCACTCACAGCGTACCTCTCGGAGAAGATGAACCAGGTCGCACCGAGTCTGACTGCGCTCCTCGGTGAGCGTATTGGCGCTCGGCTCATCAGCCACGCTGGCAGCTTGACAAATCTATCCAAATATCCGGCGAGTACCGTGCAGATTCTGGGCGCGGAAAAAGCGCTTTTCCGTGCGTTGAAGACCAAGGGTAACACACCCAAGGTGCGTCCGTTTGGGCTCTGTTGAGTATTCACTCACCTCTTTGCAGTACGGCCTTATCTACCACTCATCCTTCATTGGCCGTGCGGGTCCCAAATTCAAGGGCCGCATCTCGCGCTTCCTCGCGAACAAGTGCTCAATAGCATCACGTATCGACTGCTTCTCTGGTGCGTCTCCGCTTTCCTGGTACCTATATCTGGTTACTGATCTTTCTTGCCAGAAAAACCTACACCTGCGTTTGGTGAGGTCCTCCGCCAACAGGTCGAGGAGCGCCTCAACTTTTTCGAGACGGGCGAACCACCGGCGAAGAACACGGACGCGATCCGCAAGGTACTTGATCGGCTCGCGCTTGACGACGACGAGTCCGACGATGAGGATGCGCCAGCGTCGAAGGAACTAGCACCGCCACCGATCGAACCGTCGTCTAAGAAGGACAAAAAGAAGAAGCGGAAAGCTGAGGCCGAGGAGGATATCGAGATGGAGGAGGACGCGCCACGGAAGAAGGTCAAGCTGTCTAAAGAGGACAAGAAGGCGCTCAAAAAGGAGGAGAAGAGGCGAAAGGAGGCAGAGGAGGGCGTAGAGGGCGAGGAGAAGGATAAGAAAAAGGCCAAGAAGGACAAGAAGGAGAAAAAGAAGAAGAGCGAAGAGTAAATGGCCCTCCTTTTGTCGTTATATGCTGTCGTCCGTACCCTGGTCTTTCTATCTGTCTTGTTGTATCTTACACTGCCGAAGTATCCCTTATTTGTTCTCCGGCCTTTTCAGGGATACTGTGGACCCTCCTTCGTATCGTGCAGTCGACGTGGTACGACAACGAGTGGGTCAACAAAAATCATACGACGTCTACTGATAGTTATTCCCCAAGGGAATATTGAAGTGGCGGTATCAGATCGAACGCGGCAGGCGTTATCATCCACCTTACTAGGCCGTCGAATCTCACACAAGTTTGCTGCTGCTTTGCATCTCTACATATCGACTCTCGAAATATGGAGCATGACGCCAGCGCGCCGTAGTAACGGCCGTGCGTGTGAGGCCTTCAGGTAGAAATCGAGTTCCTCGTGCCGCTCTTCCTCGCATGAGCAGATGGTCTGTGGAGAGAGTACTTAACCTGGAAGATGTAGTGGCTGCTGCTCGTCATTGCCCACCATGATCTGGCTGCCTGTTACTCATACCCTGGCATCGCCTCTTATCAAAGTTCCGCTGCTGGTCGCCGCGACCGCCAGGACGGCCCAGGCCATGACTCCGCCGAACCCACCACTCGGACCAGAAAACATGAAATTATACGACGGTCTCGGTGACTCCATGAAGCATGCCATGGTCTGCTCAGGTTATGTGCATAAGGTCAAGACAATAGTACGCCTAGGGCGAGAGCAAAACTTCACCGAATGTGTGTAGGGTCTCTACTGGGCAAATGTGATCGCCGAGTCCGCGGTCATCATCGCGGAGCATTTTCGGTCCCCTCGTACTTTCGTTCCTCATCCGCAAGTCCAAGCTAGTCTCCCAGAGGCAGAGTCCAAGCACGCCACTCACAACATCCGCACCAGGCCCTGGTGGTCGGCGGGATGCGCCTTGATGTACGCCGGCAGCGCAATACGCCCCGCGAGCCACCACGCGCTGGGCAAGCTCTTCACCTGGGAACTTACGGTGCGCAACGACCACGTCCTCGTGACCGGTGGGTCGTACGCCGTCGTACGCCATCCGAGCTTCGTCGGGATGGCGATGCTCTCCGTCGGCCTTGTCCTCTGCCACTTCAGCCCTGGAGGTTACTTCGCGGAGTGTGTGGGGTGGGATACCTTCGCGAGCAAGGCATTCACGGTGTTCTGGGGAGGATGGATACTACTGATTCCAACGTTCTTAATGACCCGGGTTAACACCGAGGACGAGGTGCTTAGAAGGGAGTTTGGCAAGCAGTGGGAAAGCTACGCCGAGCGGACTCCGTACAAACTCATCCCGTATGTGTATTGAGACGTGAACTAGGCTTTACGATCGAGAGCAATGGTTATGCACTCCGCTATGGCACCCAGCCGGCCAAGCGCGTCTGCATGCTGCTCAGGTCTCAAGATCATCACGACATTTATGCCCAACATCTCAGCTCAAGGTACCCAAGTATATCCTGTGCATCTCGTGGTCGGCCCACGGGCTCAGGGTTGCACTTGCGGCAACTGCCTGGCTGTCCTAGGAGGCGAGTCTACTAGTTTCCCTTTCACCTGGTCATGCTGCCAGTACGCGGTTTCAGCCTATCACCTGGTTTATATACATGGTATCGTTGTATGAAATACCTTGGGACCGCCGCCGATGTTGCTGACAGCACCAGTCCAGGTCGGTGACAGCACTAAAGCGACCACTGGTGAAATTGAGCGAGATCTATAGTGCTCAGAACGAGTCTTCCAGAGTGGATGAGCTACGCGAGCTGTGAGTGCAACATTTCAAGTTCCGAGCCAGCTCTTACTCGCCTTCCGGCGCTGAACGGCGCCTAGACTGAACCGATGTAGTATAAGGTTCACAGTATAAAAATGCTGTGTTTTTCACTGGTTACCCGTGGTCTAACTAGATCTGACTGCTCCGAGTCGCACCGACAGCCGTCAGATGCGAGGCTTAGTATGGAATGGCATTCACCGCCCACGTTTTGTAACAGCCTCCTTTCGCTATATATCAGCGGGTCTTGGATGCTGCGAAGCCTTGGCTCTCACATCGCACCCATCCTCCATCGAAAGCTCATCTAGTCTCTAAATATGGGATCAGTTACAGCTGCTGACGTGCCCCTGGAACTCCACAGCAGGATACTTACATCTCTGAACCTGCAGGAGCACATTCGCGATAAGCACAATTTAGAAACTCAAAGGCGGCAGCTCGCGCAGCTCTCTACCGTCTGCAGGCACTGGGCGTATTTGTGCAGACCCCTCATCTTCGCGTGTCTCATGCATGACAGCCGGCAGAAGGTCGATCGACTGGTCCGGTTGCTGAATGCCCCCAGTCGCGCGCTCTACCCGAGCCTTCAGCAATGCCTTCTCACCAGCGGTATCGACTTCGTGGAGTTCAGCGATACCTGGACAGGTTTCTGGGTCCGCTTAATGTCGAAGAAGTTGCCGTATCACGGCGGCGTCCGCGATTTACACTGCGTCCTTACAAACACGTCGGTTCCACCTTCTGCCGCGAGCCCTCGATCGAGGGAAGGATACGCACCGCGGTCTTGGTCCACCGGCCTTCCTCGCACGCTTCCTCCGGGCCTCATCCGCATGCCCCATCTCTACCTCTCGGCGTTGAAATTTCGATGTGCTGACGACTTCCTGTCCCTCCTCGAGGGTATACGCCATCTCGAAAAAGTGTCGTGCAAGCGCGTCACATTCGCTGAGCAAAGCATAGCAACACCTCCTACACGTCCAGTGCGCCGCCCCAGGAACTCTACACCGTACACTATCCTCGCCTCAGGGTGGGAGACAGCCGACGAGGACCTTCACCTTGCCATGACGGCGCTGCAGTACAGCCCGCGGCACGGCGCGCCTGGGCAGCGCTTGGGCGAGGAGACCTGGTCCCTCGTGCGCGACCTCTTCAAGTCGCTCATGAGCTTCTTCTGGGGCAGAGACGACTGGGTGCGCCTGCGCACGATCCCAGAGTTCAGGGGATCTTTCAGCACTCTGGACGCCGACTTCGCCGCCACTCATTCTCCGCCGTCCCACAGTGTCCGAGTAGTATGGACAGCCGACGAACCCGATCCCACTGCACCGCCCGCCCCCGGCCCCTCCGCACGTGTCCACTTGATCAAGGCCACTTTCTACGGGCAGAATGTCCCTGTAGATGGTCCGTACGGCCTCGGATTCTCCATGGAGGGCCTGTCCTGGACGGCGTTCGAGAACGCCGCGCTCGCGCTGGACGTGCAGGGTGGGGTGCACATCTGGGTCATCTCCAACCCGCAGGGGTTCACTGTGCTGCTGGACATGTTGGAAAGCGATGGCGGGCATGGTAGACTCTCGCGGCTGCATGAAAAGGGGAAGCTCAGCCTCGCTTTCGACTTCGTCCCCACCGGGGTGGGCCTGTCCACGGCGAGTGTAACCCTCGCCCAGCTTTCCGCCATGCCGGCGGAGCACTTTGTTGACGGTTGCACGGTCGCTTTAGGACTTCGCGAACGTTTCGACTTATGGCAGCGCGGGTACGATCTGGAAGGTCAGCGGTTGGGTGATGAGAGGGCGGAGGCTGCAGCTCAGGTTTATCTACGCGAAATGCTCGCCAAAAATGGGGATTCTAGTCAACAAAGGGGGAGTCCTAATACCTAGCTAGCTCAGTGTGTATATGCTCCGAGGGCAACATTGCAGTCCGTGAAGTCGCTTTCAGCCAATCTCTGAATATTATGACAATTGTATCTATTGCACCACGAAAGATAAACACCTAGACAGACCCAGCACCCAGATAAACCCGTCCATGAGACCCTAAAGACCTGAGGATATCTGATCCTTCCCTATTACTTAGCTAAGTCTGCAACATCTTCGTATGCTTACACAATAGCACCCAATCTCAGCATCAAATCTCTGCTACAACCCTGTTCCACAGGCCTTCCGAAAGCGTCGTTTGGATGTGTAGATAAAACCTCCTTGGCAGATTGTACACCACAAGCGCCAACAAATGTAACACTCTCGAGTGCCGAACATTTGTCCAGAGCCCTCGTGAGTGAGGCGGGCGTCTTGCCGTTCGACCAGGCGTCGAAAATGGGCGGGGTGAGGATGAGACGCAGACGACGCAGGGATACAGAGACATCAGAGACTACCGCAGCGCAGACGGCATCAAGGGCAGTCTGGCGGTATCGCGGAACATCAGAACACCATACGCAGCTCAAAGTCGTAGAGGACGTACGGGTGAGATAGCGGGCATCGTTGGCATGGTCAGCGTCAGAGACTCCAGATTGGGACAGAGACGCAGAGCAGGGATGGTGCGGTCACCTGCCACCAAGAGGTGTTAGCGAGATGCGTGACCAGAGACGACGGACGGACTTACCCCCTCGAAAATGTGACATGTCCAGAGACAGGCTCGTAAGCTCCCGTCCGACCTGCCCGAGGAACGAGTCAAGCGCTTCCAGGATTGCATCGCCGTGGTACCAAGCGCATGCATCGTCTCTGTGGAGGACTGAGACGCTCCGAACAGAGAGCGGATCCAAAACCTCTTGGAGCACAAGGAACGGATCCCGGGCCCCCAAGCCCATGTCCTCGAACGACACCTTCGCTACGCGGAGTTTCTTCTCCTGGAGGATGGGGCGGCTGAAGCCGAACGTGTACCCGTGCGGCCGCACCAGCCGGAGGTGATCGATGGAGGTGAAGTGTATGAGACACGTGACGAAGGCGTCGGCGCGCACGCTTGTGAGTTCGAGTGTGCTGATCTGTGCTGCTCCCGGATGGACTGCGATGACGTGCTCGGGTCGATGCTGGCCGCGGACAGCAAGCGAGCGTACGTTTGGCAGGGCCCTCTGGATCTCTTCTAGGGGTACTGTACACAAGCTCTTGAGACTCTCGGAGACAGAGGTAACATAGCGCCGCAGCCTTGGAGACACCCTCGCGTAGTCCAACAGCGCGAACAGAGTCAACCATTGGCGCGACGTCATGTCCCATCGATCTACGTCAATGCTGTATAGGAGTAGCTTTGAGGCGTAGTGCAGCCATGCGTGGCACACGAGCGTGCAGTTCGCTAGATTGCGCTGCCGCAATACATTGCAACGCTCGGAAGCGGTATGGTCGAGGATGTGATACACGAGCTCCTGAGGGAGACGAGGAACGCTGCGCGATCGCGATAGCGGGTCTTGTGAGCCCCCGCAAACCGCGCCAGCGCTTTGCAGTTTGGCACTGGACTGTACGCCCATCCTGCAAAGCGAGCTCGCCATAGGTTCTTCGCGTACGGACTACCGCCGTGGATAGTAAACACCTCTTCACCTCGAGCAGGGCCGGTCGGAAGTGGTAGGGAGACAAGCACAGCTATCCCCGGTTGTCACAGTCGACTTCAAATGCGATGTAAAGCGCCATACCTCCGCAATGGAAGCACACAGCCACCTGCTCGGTTACCTCCAAGACCCGATAACTCTGCGCTGCCAATTTCATCAAACCAATGAGTACCGCCCAACTGTCTGATATTGCCTGCTGAGGGTCTGCTTTTGTCTATGTGTTATCCGACGCGGGAAGCTATTGGTCGCATTGACTGCGCCGCTTGGCTGCGGCAAGGATCGTGAACTATAACACTGAGGTCAAGTTACGTTCGCTTTGTGCTCGAAGGCGTGCTGACCCTGTCCCAACCCTCGTTTCAGTGCTCGGAAGCATAGAAAGAACGGCATTGCAGTGACACATACCTGGATAGCCTCTAGCCATGAAGCTTCTTCCGCTCTGGTATTCTTACTCACGGCCAACCGGTGCAAACTCGTCTCTGCAAAGATTGTGCATACCAAAATCATACAGGAATTCGGCGAAGTTGGTGGTTGGACTCGAAGAACCTGGCTGATCGCTGCTGCAAACGGCAGCGTCATTCTCCCACGGTCACCACTGCCACTTATTCTCACTCTGTATGCAACGTCTCAAGAGCTCATAGCTCGGCAATGAACGCACGTTCTCTCACAACGCCGCTAGTAACGGGCCCGCACTCGACTTTCCTTAGCCTGTAAATTGAACAATAAATAGCACATTAAGCTGTCGCGTAAGCTTCTAGTGTCGGTGATAGGTATTGTACTTGAATAATGCAACAGAGCGGGATCCATGAGAACACACAGCGAACGAGACAGCGACAACGTGAGGCAGCACAAGACAATGGATACAGGGTGGTCGTCAGCGGAAGATGGGGGTAGGGGGGCAAGATGTCCGTGGGGGTGGCTCTAGCGATCTATTGGTTCGCACACTGCACGCGCGGCTCGCCCTCGCCGTCCTCGTCCTCGTCCATCGCCTCGCCCGCCTCCGCGTACTCGAGCTGCCGCGCGTCGGCCTCGACGGCCTCGACCTCCTCGAGCATGACGTTCTTTGGGAACTTTTCTAGCGGCTTGCGCGCCGGCAGCGCCTTCTCAAGCAGTGGGGCTGACTCGGCCGGGATTTCGTCCGGGAAGCGCACTTGTAGGCGGATGAACAGGTCGCCGGGTTCGTGATGCCGCTGTGACGGCATGCCTTCGCCAGGGATAACCTTCAGAGCGTCTAGACAGACATGAGCCTAAGGTGGAAATATAACCACTACCGTAGTATGCTTACTGTGCTTGAGAACTTCGCCCGGGTGGACCTTCACGACAAGCGCGCGGTCGTCCAGGTGTTTGATCGCGAACTGGCCGCCAGCGAGCGCAGTCAGGAGGTCGACCTCGACGGTCGTGAACAGGTGGTTGTCCTTGCGCTTGAACCGCTCGTGCGGCTTCTCCTCGATAACGATGATGACGTCTCCGGGGGTAACACCCGGCGCCTGGTCGCTCTCGCCGCGGAAGGTGATCGTCTGGCCGCCCTTCATGCCCTTGTCGATGTGGACCTCGAGCATCTTCTTCTCGGAGGAGACCTTCTTGCCGTTGCACGTCTTGCACTTGTCTTTGTTGTTGATGATCTCGCCCGTGCCCTGGCACTCGTCGCACGCCTGCTGGATCTGCTGGATCATCGGGCCCATCTGGCGCATCATGATGCGGATACCGCGGCCGCCGCAGCGTTCGCACTCGCGCACGGCGCCCTCCTTGCCGCCCTTGCCGTGGCACTTGCCGCAGATGATGTTGCGCGTGAGCGCGAGCTTCGTGATCTTGCCCTTGTAGAGGTCTTCGAGCGAGACGGTGACACGGTGCACGAGGTCCTTCGTCTTGCGCGGCCCTTGCTGCCTGCCGCCACCCCCGCCGAAGAACCCGCCACCACCAAATAGTTGTGAGAACAGGTCCTAAGAAATCGAGAAGTCGATCAATTGAATACGGCATCAATGACGAAATTGCGCACTTGTGGGTCCATACCACCCATTCCACCAGACTCGCTCAAGCCAGCCTCTCCTCGTGCATCATAGATGCTTCGCTTTTGCGGGTCAGACAGGACTTCGTAGCTGCAGGACCAGTATTAGTTAGACGATTGGCGCATAACGGCCGAAAAACATACGCGTGTGTGACTTCCTTGAAAAGCTCCGGGTCGCCGCCCTTGTCTGGATGTAGCCGCAGAGCTCTGAGAGAGGTCAGTCACAGCTCGTACCGAGGTCGCCGCTCGACTCACTTCTTGCGGTACGCCTTTTTGAGGTCGGCCTCTGAGGCATCGGGCGAGACTTCTAAGAAATCGTAATATTTTCTAAGGACGACGTCAGGGTGTGCGTAAGCGTGGTAGACTCCGCGGGTTCTTACGTCTCTTGGACCATGACGGATACCACAGGCGGAGAGGAGAAAGTAAGAAGAGGTCGTTAGCGAAGAGGGAGACTTTGTGAGAGAAGGGATATTCGTGACAAAATTCGGAAATAAAAGACGAGTGAAATCAGCCGAATTGCAGCGAACCTTCCAGCACATTCCGTGGGGTTCCATCCAATCGATGCGCTCTGTCCCCGGGCGCTCGGCAGCAGTGGCAGCCGCCCTTGCGCGCGCCGAGGCCAAAGCGCCCGCTTACAATCTGCGATGTCCTAGGCTCCTAGCATTCTTCACCCAGAACATGTAAAAGGCATGGGATTATCATCGATATCATGATAGGAATTTAGATGATTTCGAGGCCGGAAAGGCCGAACGAAACGGGATCTTAGTCATCCCGATGATGTCGTTAGATACTACGGACAGCTTAGAATTGCCAGAGAATTCATAAATTTAAAAGACATCGGAGCCAGTAGACAGCATCTGCATAGAATGCAACTTATACGACACCACTTCAGTGGTCTGGTAGCTCTGCAGCAGCCCCTTTAGGCATTCTAGTAGTCCGTTAACTGGCGCTAGAGCGTCATTGAGTCCTGACTGCGGCTGCAAGGCCCATGTAAGACAACACTAAGCAAACTATAAACCAAGCTGCAAGGACGAACCTTGAAATTCGTGCTGGACAAGCCCTAGGAGAGAATTTCAAAGACGAGATCACATCAAACGCCACAAAGAGCGCCCTTTCCATGAACCGGCATCGGAAGGCGCATCATCGGCATCATCGACCTGTGCACGTGGCAGCGGCCTCCTGCGACCGACTATTTTGCTGATGGCGCACACTTCACCATCATTCATGTGCGTCGCACTGTTCCGCTTGTAACACCCGCCTTCGGCGGTAGCATTACTATCATCCACCTCCACTGAAATTATCAAACGATGCTCAGACTGTCTAAGACCCCCGCGGGCGGCTCGAGCCCGAGCTCCCGCTCGTTCTCAAACGTCGACGAGCTCTTCCCGCTGCCGTACGCCGGAACTATACTTGAACTTGGATTTAAACTCAGGCATGGTCGTGCTGCACCCCGAAAGCGCGCTTCTCCCTGCCGGTGTGCGCTTTCCACGCTCGTACGGGAACCAGCCGTCCCCAAACACGTTCTTTGCCGCTAACGCGCTTCGCTTGCCGCTTGTGTGCAGCAGGAACATCACACTCATAAACTTGGAGCGCACGCCCAGCGTCTGGAAGGACATCCGCACCAGGTGCGCGTCATGCATCATACGGTCACGAAGCCGTTAGATAGCAATGTGTCTAGCAGTTTTACATACACTCATGTGTCTAATTGTATAGTAGCAAATGAGATGTCAGATAGAAAGAGTTTGGGGGCTTTCGTGAGTCTTAGAAAGAGTCTCTTCTGCATCGTTGCTTTGGTCTGCGAGAAGGCTTTCTTGTAAGGCCAAGTCCTCTGGTGACTGTTTATCACGATTTGCCGTCTCCTCTTTAGTCAGCTAGAAACAGCCACTCAGAAATATCCTTTGGTGTAGCGAAAAAGCATACTTACCGCCACATAGATGGCCGAAAGCATGATGATGACAGTGCCGAGAATCGATAACAATGACGGTTTAGCATGAAAGAATATTTGGTCGAATATGATGGCGTAGACCACCTGCAAAATGGTCAACAGCATATCAAAATTTGCGGGGAAAAAAATCGCACCTGAATATACACTGCCATAGTACTCCGACCAACTGCTTGTCTCTGCAGGCCCATCGTCATCAGTACCTAAAAATATGGGCATCAATATCATTGATCTTTGCATCACCAGGCAGAGCGGCATCGAACCTGCGCAAAAAATCCATTGAATCCAATCATCAGAAATAGAGCGAGCCACTCGAGCTTTGTGGGAAGGACAATTTTGGTGCGCATGGCCAGCATCCTAAGTAAAGGTGATCACTGTACTGAAGGTCACACATGAGACGCAGGCCACCTACGCAATAGTCGACACGATGACGCATTGCGAGGAGAATGCGACAATATTGTGCAAGGGGTGCGCTCGAGTACCGATGGCACGAATAATTGTGTCTATGACCGATTTTTGAACAACAGTAGATATTCAGACCTGTAGCGATACTCACAGACTCCTGTCGCGCCGAGTGCGCCGAGTATGGCGATGCTGTAGACGGGGTATGAGCATGGTCTCGCAATCGGCTCAAGAGGGCGCCACTTACCCGACAGCACCAAGCCGCTGGGATGCCGTCACTTGTGTAGCCAAAGAACCATTCGGCGTGGGGCCAGAGCCAGCGTTCCCAGAGTCCGGGGACGTAGGTGGGACCTCAGCTGTGCTACCGAAGAGAAAAGGCGGCCGAGCAATCAGGATGACGCCGACCAGACTGCAAACTACACGGTGTTCAGAGACACTAGGACAACAAGACCGGATGGGACGCACGTACATCCCGCGGCGACCTGCTTCCATGAGAACCGCTCTCCCAGGAACATGGATCCCG